AGGCAATATGACGAATGGTTTCTCTGGTACTATGGAACGGCACTTACTTATTTATATACTATTTAATTTCAAATTCCTTCTTTCTTCATTTCGTAAATTTAAAATTTCTTTTTTCAGAAATGTGTAGATTACTGTTAATATATGCAAAAAACAATATTGACAAAATATCTGGAATAAATTGTGCAGAGCTTTTTTGGATTTTGGACAGGTGCAAAAATATGACGTTTTAAAACCTTATGATTTTTAATATCACATCAATTCTAAATTAAGTAAAGTGCGTACTCTTGTCAAAATTTTATGTCACATCGCTACAAAATTTTGCGAATTTGAGTCCATTTCGCAAAAAAATCGTCACAAACGGTCAGACTTTATTTCTGTCGTCAAAATGTTATCTTGTCCATGGCGTTTGTCTTTCATTTTGGAAAATGTGATTTTTTGGTTCTATTTACGTGTACTTCTAAATCATCAAGAAAACTTTCTTAGGATCAATAGGGGCATATGTGATTAGTTTGACTGAATTCTGGACTTGTTTAGTCCATAACTAAAAAACTGCAAATTATATCCCAAAACTGTCAACATATCTAGAAACAAAGGTTTCGCTTCTTCCAGCTTTTGGGTGTTTCTTCCGGGCCACTGGAAGAAAGTGGAGGATAACTCCCGCACAAATTAAAAAGGGTAAGTCTGCATTCCAGAGCCAACCGATTTCTGAATGGATTCCTTATATCGGGATCCTGCCTGCTATTGTTGGAGGGAAGATATTGTCGGGTAGGGGGTAATAGTGCTTGGTGGGGGATGGCTGAAACTTGCCAGAATTGATACCATCTTGTAGAATTTGAATCTCGCAGTTTTTCTACATTTTTCAAAATTTGGAAGATGCCGCCGTTCCGTGAATCAGCCAAGCCGGGGGTAATATGAAAATACGACGAGCAAGACAAATCTCTAAAGCCAGGTACGAGCTGCCGACATGTTTAGAATTCTAATTCTATATTCTACTTCATATCTTTCGGTGAGTGCCAATGGCAGCTTGGCCAGCTCAAACTCTGTACTGAAATACGTATGACCTCAGAATAATAGAATCAATTCAAAGAGGGAGTGGCGATAAGTCACAAGACATTTTAGTCTTGTATGGAATTTGTACGTGCGGGCGACTTTGATGCCATTAAATTTTTAAGCACATGGTTTTTGGTCGGATACTGACCATGTTGCTCTTCGGAACGGCACGGACACCGTCTTTTCCTTCAACCGAAAATGGTGCATATTTAAAATTTGTCGTATAATTAATAGAAAAATACAGATAAAAATAACATAATCTTAAATCATTTTCGGTTCTCTGAACGTCTTTTGCATGTGATATTAAGCAACCATTCCACATCTTTGTTCACTTTATTTGCAAATATTACTATCCCCGAGATCTTCCTATTTCTCCCTCTTACTCTATATATTTTATACAATGATAATAATAATTTAAAAAAATTATATCATTACAGTAAATTTAATTTACATTATGTAAATTAAATATGGACTGATTTATTTTAGATATATTTCAATTGATTAGTAAATTTGAACTATTTTTTCCAATAAAGCCGTACTTTTTCGCATTTTGGGGCAATGTGAGACAGTTCGCGCTATATGGGCACATATATTATGTTGTCACTCACGCTTATGGAGGCTTTGCGCGGCTCGTACAGGAAAACAGTACGACTTAGAGGGATGCGGTCAAGTGCATTTGATGCACCTCGCTGAGCTTTAAAATGACTTTTCTGGGATTGTGGATATCTCGAAGCATTTTCGTTAAATCGAGATTAATAGCTTTTTCTCATCAAAAATCTCAAATGTTACCCCAAATGAGTTAGGTGCATGATAGGCATATACATGTAATTACAATTATATCCGGAAATACTCAACCTTCAATATTTATGTGAATATGTTTTTGAATAAAGCCTTCCGTGAGGCGCAAAGTTCGAATTAGCGTGATATTTTTCGAAATTTCGTATATCAAAAAGTGCACAAAGCTAGAGCTCACACCTTACATTTTAGCGACATGAACCTTATTGGGATTATGTAGGGGAGGGTCCAATTTAAAATCCTCAAAGGACCTACTTTTTCGAAATCTGTCTTAGTTTTTGAGTTTTGGCGCGAATTTTGAACGTTAAATGTTTACTCATATAGCTTTTAACTTTCTCATCCAATTGTGATGCTACGACGTCTATAATTAATAAACTGACCACCCACACTGGACTACTCATCAAGTTACTCATAAGTCTTACAATTTAAGGTCAAGGGTCGAGGTCACAGGTCATGAAAATTTTTTAATGGCCATGTCATGCGGGGTATCAAATTAATGGTATTTTCGAAGAGCTACCCGATGCCGAAGGTGATTTTTGCCTGGGGTGACTCATGACCGTTTGACCGTTTCAAAGGTACAGGTCAAAAAGTTCATATTTGCCCGTTTTGGGAATGAATTAGATTAATTGTTAAATTTAATGTTTCAGATGGTGAAAAGTATCAAATAAGTGGTGCGGTAAAACCGCTGAAAATACTATTTTTTCAATGGTGGAGAGATTAAAAGTAATAAACAAGGCGTATGTAGAACCTTTTGCATCGGCATAATATTTATGGGGCAAAAATAGGGGCAATTTTGTGCTGCAAAACAGATACTGCATTGTGGAAGTGTCATTTAAAGTTCATATCCAACTTTGAAACTGTGAGGTGACACTTGCCCCTATTTTTGCCCCCGAAATATTATGCCGATGCAAAAGGTTCTACATACGCCTTGTTTATTACTTTTAATCTCTCTACCATTGAAAAAATAGTATTTTCAGCGGTTTTACTGCACCACTTATTATTAGTTTGAAAATACTAATTTTTTTTTTAAATTTTCATTGTCAGGTATGTATACATGTATGTATATTTGTAAGAGGCCCTCTTGTGGATTTCAATTTATTGAGCAACCGAAATTGTGAAGGGTATGCGACATCCTGGAAGTATGCTTCAGACGGTTGGAGCCACCAGGTGTGTATGAATATACCATGGCTGTGAACAAATTATAGCGGCCGAGCTAATGGCGATTTCTTGTTGTTTGGCAGGCTTTGAATCCAGTGTTTAACTCTACTTTTGGGATTGCAGAGAGATTGTTCGATCGTGTTGTTTCACAACTTGGAACCATTGTTGTGGAAGACAACAATCCAATAAAAGTATTTGGGGAGCGCTCGGTATTGTGGTTTACAAGGCTAAGACTAAGTTCTTTGATTTTTTCACTGCACCTTTTGCTTAATGCAAAAAGGAATGCAATGCTGAATGTATATTTTAAAATGATCTGCTTGTAAACAAGCCGTGAAATTTATCAATCTTTCAGAGTCAATGCTCCGTTTACCCGGTCCATTAGTTATTAGGTCAATTAGTTACTACAATTTGTTCCTGGATCAGTAAACTTCCTTAAATTTTGTTAATTTATATGATTAGCTTTATTAATGTCAAACTGAGTCAGCGTGAGGTGGTCTCCCATCAGAGATATAATACATATAAATTTCATTACATGGGTATAATATGATAGTAATCTACTAACGACTTAAAGCTATAGGGGTATAGTAGTAACTACTAAACGGTTTTCTTAAGTATAGGGTTGTCCAAAAGAAACTGAAGGGTCCACTTATTCTTATAAAAAAGTTGATTTATAGATGTAAGTATATTTACCTCAACGTTCTTTCATAACCTTAATCAAACTGTCATTACGTTGGGACCACTCTAAAGCAGGAATCATTAATATCCAAATAAGAATGGTTTCGCTACAGTATTGTAACTGTGTTCATGTCTATTAAGACCGGACATTTTCTGAATAAATCATTATACCAGCATAGATTAAACCGCTATGTCTCCACTCACAACTTTAAAGACAAATTCGACCATGAACCTTGCTTGAAAAGGGGATCCTTCTTGTTACCGACCTACGATACAATAGGGATGCCAAATCCGGGACAATCCGAATCCGAAAACTCCGGTTTCTTCGGATTTCGAATACTCCGAAATCCAGGTGTCAGTTATTTTTAATAATTTTATAATAACCGCGAAAATAGTGAGATTTCCATCGTCTAATGGGACATTGCGAATTAATTAAAAATAATTGTATAGGAAACACTCGAAATATACTATCAAATTTTTGGCTTAAAAAAATTCAGAATTGAAAATGTTAAAAAAGGCAGTTAAATCCGGATTTAAATCCGGAGAACACGGATTTCGGATTCGAATTTGAATTCTTATTATTTCGGATAATCCGGATTTGATAATTAGGAACCGATTTGACATCCCTAATGCCACATTGTATATATCGACTTGTTCGCATTTATTATTATTTTCAAATTATTGTCCTAACTCTAGTTAAGATTGTGCGAGCGAGGTCACAACGTGGTAAATATAATGCTGTGCAAAACAATGATATAAATTATTGGATATACTATGTATCCAAATTTTTTACAAAGCATATCGTGTGTACATAGAGAAATACGCTTTACATACATCCGTGCATATATATTTGCCAAATAAAATATCGTGTTCATTCGGTTAAACTCATGGGAATGTATATAACAATTCAAACTACAAAGTTGGGCAAAACTATGCATATGAAAAGCAGGTAGTGGACCTTGGGTGTAAAAAACGTTATTACAAAAGAGTTAAGTCAATGCCTATACAAACTTCATAACAGGCTGCAAGTTCACCCTGGCGATAAATATCATTCAATTTTGCATGCATTAATGTGTTTGGTGGATGTGATTGTACACATGTGCAGCTGTTAAAAACTCCAATACACATTTAACCCTTCAGTGAATCGTTCCAGCAGCATATGTACATGCTATTGCATTCATCCTCTCATTTTATAAACATTTACACCATTATAGCCAAGATACAAAAATAGTTAGATTGTCACAACCGTAAAGTTAACTATCAGCTTACTTAAGTCATATTGACTCCTTTTATCTGCACAGTTGTTCGATAAAGGAGTATTAAATATAGATGGTTATGTCTCATATCTGTAGATCCTTAACTTATATATAAAAATGTATCACCCCACAGTAGAGTCATGTAGCCCATTTTTCTCAACGCGACTGCATATGTCCAGCCGACTGCTTCGTTTTAAACTAACATATGAACTTAGGAGGAGGGAGGCACACACGGGGAATGGAATTTCTTGAATAGTACGACGATAATGTAATGAAATTAAGATTTGGACCTTGGACACTAATGATTCATATCTATCCCACTCCTTCCACCATCTCCAGTGAGTAAAGAATTAATTACTTCTACATGCCCGTGGCTGAATTAAAATTAAATTAAAATTAAAATTAAACCTCGATATTTTAATCCTACCCCTTTCATCTCACCGATAACAACTTCTGATCTCTTTGTGTAATACAATTTTTCATTTCTTGCCACGTTTCCAAGATGTACTGGACCTTGTCAATTCTTCTACTTTATTTATCTGGGTCGGAAGCATGTCTCGTAAAATATCCAGAAGTTAACGCGTGCCCTCATCATCACCCTCGTATCGTGGCTCGTAACCTTCCTTGCGATTTGGACATGACAATAAGTCAGATATAAATCCACAATTTTACAAAAATGGAAAATATAATAATCAAATTCATTTAACCCACACTGGTTAATAATTTAGTTAATAACATCCCAAATCTGTTCATCGCGTCAGGATCAGTCAATATGGCGTGTGGTGGTGTATGGGGACAGTCATTCGTCGACAATCTGGTCACTGGAAATTCTAGCACAATGAAATTTAGTGGGAGAAGGTATATTTATTGAAGGCTGTTGTAAAATACTGAATGAAAGTTAAGTTTAATTTATTGCCGTTTTCAGTGATGGAGAAAGGCCATCCAGCTTATACCAGTGGCCGAACCCGTACTGTTGTCCAAATGATGGTGGCAATGAGACGACGGGTAAGGTGTCGATTATGTAAATATGCAACGCGTATCCATCTATTTTTCTTATTCCCCCTTTTCAATGGTTAAGGCACCTTGGGTTTGCATATCTACGAAGCGACGAACCTACCCTCGTGGCAGGCGCCAGAAAAGGCTGCGATTATGATCAAATGGAATGCAGCATGTAACAGTAACTGTCATGACTGGATTGAATTACGATTAGCGAAGTCAAGGAAGTCCTTCTCAGGGGAATACTTTAACGAGGATCCGACTACCACAGTCTTAAATGCAAACCAGCGTGGACCAAGGAAGGAGAAAGATGTGGATTTTGTGATGGTAAAGGTAAATATTTATGTATTTTGTTATTTTTAATCTATCAATATTTTTTGATTTTTTAGAAGCGTGATGCAGTCGCAACGGTTAAAAACTCAGACTTTGTCGTAACTGCAAAGTTGGAGGTTGATAGAGGAGTTGGAAATCGTGTCATGAAGGTCACCATTTATCCCAGCGATATGATACAGGTGGTAATTATTCAAGCTGGAAATTGATTTTGTGAAATTAAATTGGGATGAGATTCGTGATAAGTTGCAGAAATAAATTTACACGACTACTGAACCAATGTCCACTTTAAAAATCTCATTTTTTGGAATTTTTTACAACTATTTAAAAAATTTGGAAGCAGCCCCGTACTTTAATATGTATAGGATTAAATGATATAAAAATTGTGACAGGTTATAATAAAATAGCGATAATTTTACAAAAATATGATTTCTTTTTGCATATGCATATTATCCTCATCAATATATATTTCGTAACGGTTACATTTCCATGCAAATGCACAAAACTGTATTACACTTTATACTAATTATAATAACGTGTAAATTGTATACACTTGGGTGGAAATGGTCAACCCCTTCTGTTCAGAATGGATCTTGATTAGGACCGTTCGGGGTCAGTGTGATGTTGGCCATAATTACAGAGGCTCCACAGAGTAATTTGGAACGATTTCGGACCATAATAACTCTGGCGGAAAGTATAATTTCGAAGTTCGAAATTCGAACTGATATTTTTAGGAAATATTATCAGCTTCGAGTGTGCAAAATTTCAAATCGCTCAGTTTAAAAATGTCCCCCCCTCGCTGACCCCAGTAGGTGGTGGTGCTAAACCCATAGCTTGTAGCCTGTCATATTTACATTGATAAGCATTAATTGTATATAAACATTTTCATGGACAAGACTCCGCTTTTATGAATAATCTTTCTATGAACAAAACTTTACTCTTCAACCAATCACAATTTCGAACAGGCAACGTTTTCACTGTAAACGTCTGCCCATCCTATCCATTGTGCAAACCACAACCGCTTTACTACCGAAACTAATACTGAACAGTAATTAAGTATTATTTAGTATAATTAAGTTATTTATTTTTAAAAATTTTAAACAATAAATTTTAATATTTCGTATATAGAGTGCACAACTTGATGAAGTTTTTATAATCTTTAAAATTAGTTACACATGAAATAAATTCGTAATAAAATTGAAGGTAACAAACTCCCAAAATATTAGAAGTTGTACATATTTGTATAATAATATTCACTACATATAATTTAGCATAAAAAATTGATTGATAATTTTGAAATTTTGGTAAAGTTCTAAATTTAACACGAATTTATTCTGAAAAGGGCTGTAAATGACCTCAATCTTTCCTATTTTCTAACCTTACCTTCATTGTGACGACTTCAACATGTTTACCAAATTTCAACTCAATCAGATTAATTTTCCCAGTTTATTTATTCAAATGAGAGTTTAGGTATTCAAATTAAGAGTTTAAGAGTTACATGCATGGAAAATTGAAAGCGTATGAAAAGACAAAGAGAAATTCGGGTGCCAGAATCCATGTAACATAGCCAACACAACCCTGCTTCAATTCTCACGCTCAGATCTTTCAGCTGGTGTACATACGAAAACTTCTTGGATAACAATAACTCCAGCCACGTAACAATCTACATATTATTTTGTTATCATCAATCTTAACTGAAGGTGAGTTTGCCTATTTTATTTGATTATACGCCATTCTAATTAATAAAATTAAAAAACCTGTGTGGAATTTATGTCTGTAATTGAATTTATAAATAAATTAGAGATATTCAGCTGTCCTTAATTTTATTTGTTTTTCTTCAACTTTACAGAATTTATGATGGCAAACTCGCACTGTCTCTTTTGTTTACAAGACCTCGACGAAGTGGTCAATGACGATGGCTCGCAAATATTATTAACGTCGGATGTTATTTCGTCATTAAGGACACCATTGCACCCTCCTGATCTGCCTTCGGTCACCACACATGAGAGCTGTGCCTTGTGCAAAAATTGTTACCAGGTGGTGTACGACATTCAATTAATTCGATATTATGAACTCGTCTATCAATACCCATGTACCCTCTGTACTGACAAGTTTAAGCAAGAGAAAATCCTGGCGGCGCATATGGTCATGAAGCACGAGCTTCCTGGCGAGAAGACCTTGTCGTGTCCTCGTTGTGCTAAGAAATTCAACCAGCAATTTAATCTAGACCGACATTTGGCAAATCATGAGGTTGTCGCTGGCAAAGAAATCTTATTCTGCGATGTATGCGATACTCCATGCTTGAATCTGGACCTACTAAAGCGACACGTGAGGACCCACGATGCTAAGAAATATCAGCCTCCAAATCCGTACAAATGCGAAGTAAGAAATAATAACTTTGGTCGGTCAGTGCATATTTTCGTTATAATAATTGACTTATGCTTCTGCAGGGTTGCGATGTCACCTTCATAACTTCGGGTGGCCTGTACACTCACGAGCGTACAATTCACATGATCGGGACACCATTTTTCTGTAAACTCTGTCACAGAAGATTTAAGGAAGAAGCGGAATTACTAAATCACGCAACAGTTTGTTCGCGGCAAAGAATACGAGAGCCTCGTGTATAACTGTAAATGATCGTAAATAATAACCATGAGAATTTCATGATAAAGCCATTCTCCTTCTCATGTAAGCCTTACTTCGTAAAACTGAAATTGAAGCAATCGGGTTATAATCAGTGTTTGTTTTTTGGTCAGTGTCCAAAAGTGTTTTTTATTTATTTATTACATCAAACTTGCTTTTTTCAAAGCTTGTTACGCTTGACGGTAAACATTCAAGATACAATACAGTACATATTCGTTGTTTCATCAAATTGTCATCAATACATACTTCATAATTACAATGGGATATATAATTCGCATCATTTATAGTATATAATCATTTAAATTAAATTAAGAAAGAGCTCAGCAACTTGCAATAAATTTGTCATTTGATAATATATAAGCCCGTAGTTTAGTTTTGTAAACCTTGTCATCTTTACAACTCTTTAACTCATTTGGAAGTTTATTCCATGCATTAACAGGGTGAAAATGAATACTTGACTCACTTATTTTACTCCTTGGGCAAAAATTACCTCTCAAATTCGAGCAATTACGTGTAGGATAGTGATGAAAGCTCATGCTTTTTCTGATAAAGTCATCAAAAAATGGAATATTTTTGTTCTGTCTGGAATTCAGGAAACAAGGACCCGAGTCTCCGCAAATAGTGCATGAATCATGTTTGTTGACACAAACTCATGGGAATTTATGCAACAGTTGAAATTGAACAGTTGCAACTGAACAGTTTATCATATGTAAAACACGTAATGGACTTTGCTTGTAAAAAAACTTTATTACAAAAGAGTTGAGTGAATGCCTGTAGATAATGCCTGTGATATTGAATCGTATTTACCTTTGCATAACACAAACCGAGCACATGATCTTATTATCCTTTCAACACTATTTTTGTTTTTTCTCCCACACAACCATATAATATTAGCATAGTTTAAAATTGACATGACAAGAGCCTGCATAACTATTGTTTTCTGCTTAACAGCTAACACATTTTTCAATGGATGACCACAATACACTGTTACATTTTTTAACTACAGACGAACAATGAGCATTAAAATTTAAGTTTTCATCAATCTGCACACCAAGCATCTTAATAATTTGAACCCTTTTTAACTGTTTGCCATTTAACTTAACTATAACATCATTCAATTTTGATTTGTCTTTCTTATTAGCAATAACCATCATTTCACATTTATCCTCATTTAAATCTAGTCTATTTTCTTTCATCCAATTGCTAATTGAGCATAAATCTTTTTCAAGTTTACAAATGACTTCGTCCACCTTATCAACTTTTCCAGAAATGGTCACTCCCGTATCATCAGCAAACAAAACACATAAGCTATGTATTACAACCTTGGGTAAATTATTCATTATCACCAGGAACAAAATACAAGAAATGCACAAACCTTGTGGCACACCCACATTTGTCGACATAATATCAGATTTCATACAGCAATTATTACAATTTATACTTACATATTGATTTCTTTGACATAAAAATGAATCAATTATTTTGGGTCTAGGGCAACTCGTCGAATGCAGTTTCGTCGAACGGGCATCTCGTCGAGGGCAACTCGTCGACAAGACAACTCGTCGACAAGACAACTCGTCGACAAGACAACTCGTCGACAAGACAACTCGTCGAAAATAATAGTTTCGAAACTCGTCGACTTCTTTTTTTACACATCTTTATTCGATAGAGCCATAAAAATACTTTTTACAAAATTTTGTTTCTTTTTGAAACAGTATTTGGAGAAACTGACGCCTTTCGTTTATTTCTGGGTCTTCTAGTCCTAACAACTTGTTAGTAACAAGGGCTGAACTATACGCTTTGGCAAAGTGAGCTTGTTTGGTGGAACAAGAGGGGATTTCAGGGTTGTGTATGACAATCTCAGATGACTGTGTGGCAAGATCTGACACATCAACATTTGCGGAATCATTAAGTTCGGCTCGACCTTTCCGGAGTTTTCCCGTCGACATATTGTAGGCTATTCCAACTACGAAGTCGTTCAGCTCGGTGTTCGAGTAATTGGACACCAAGTTATAAAGTCGTTGATCAAGCCTCTTCTGTTGGGCCCGCTTTGCATTAGGGGACGCTCCTGCTAACCTCTGTTTGAGCCGAACTTCGACATTTCTCTTCTCTTTGAAGTAGGATCATTATTTTATATAGCGGGACATGGGAACTCTCAGCAAGAATTCCAAATCGCCTATTCCAAGCTTCAACTGCGTTGTTTGTCCTGGGAATATTATCCAGAACACGTTGGTGTACATTGCAGAAGAGTATTGGAAACATGGGTGGATCGTACACCGTGCCTGTGTAGGTTTTTTGAACGTAAGCAAAAAAATCGTCTAGTTCGAGTTTTGTTTCGCCCTTGAATGTGCACTCTGCTTTAACTTCTCGGAAAGCCATTCTTACATCGTCGGGCTGAACAAAGGGGAGACCAAATACTTTCTTAATTGTTAATGCCATGGTTAAGTCTTGTTCGTACAGCTTCTTTAACTTGGGTGTCAAATGTCGGAATAAAGCTTGGGTGTAATGGAAATGGCACCCTTGCATTATTGCGTCTGGAAAATTGTCGTGAACAGCTTTTATTTCGGCATGCTCGAAATCCATCAGTACCATCTCCGGCCTTAGAACCCACCCTAAACTGTTATTGATTAACTGGTCCAGAACATATGTGTAACTTGCAGCAGTTTTGTCAGGTAACAATGCATATACCAACGGGAACACGAATCCGTCCCTGGTAATGCCATGTATGGTCATAAGTTGAGTGTATAACTGGGGAACGACGTCGAATGTTCCGTCGATTGCCCACACATCGTAAAGAGATAATTCCTGTGCAATTTAAATATAAATTTTAAAAAAGAGCATAAAAAAGACTACTTATACGTAGGTACTTAACTTCAAGGTTTCACCGAGTAGTAAAAATTAAAATTCGCTTTTCAACCATAGAATCTTTGAACAAAAACATGTACTGTCCACTGGCGTCTTTTGTTTGTCCTTCGGTAAGGTTAATTTTAGCTCGAGTTTTCGGGTTTTTCATACATAACGGCTGTCTTTGCTTTCGAATTGTCCGCTCCAGAGTATCATCTGTCGGTAACCCTTGCATTACATCAGAAGGAAACTGCGATTTCGCTTGAGCAATTATGGATGAAGGGGCCACACTACTTTCCAGTGCACACCTCTTTAATTGGGCTGTAACTTCTTTAGTTTTTAATCTATACCATTTATTGATATTTACATTTTTTGCATTGGATACGAATAGTTGTCTAGAGTTACTATGGCTTACTCGATTGCGGATAATATGCAGGAATGAGGTTTCGTTGTAATTGGATTACAATAATTAGCTGTAGTAGCTCGGCCACCACATTGTCTTTCACCACATCTCCAATATTCCACTTCCGTCGTTTTATTTACTTTATTTAGTGTGTACAGTTTCCCTTCAAAATTTAGTTTCTTTTGTTTTCGTTGGGTTAATTCGTAAGAATAATTCGACATTTTTAAAATTAAGAAATATAAAGCCAAATGTGTAAAATAGTCCTGCCAATTATTACTGTGTAGTATGTATGTAGTAGTATTTTTAGTACATAATACCCGCAGCGTTCCATCCCGTGTAGTACATGTAATGTGTTATGTGATGTATGTTAAAAATCGTATAACAAATACGGGCAAATATCATTAATTCGACGACTCGATTTCGACGAGTTGTCTTTTCGACGAGTTGTCCGTTCGACGACTCGATTTCGACGAGTTGCTCGTATCCCCACTCCACAACCCATGCCTTATTGACTATTACAGAATATATGTATCAAGCTCTAGATAACAATGACTTTTGTATAATGATCGCGTTGGATATAAGAAAAGCCTTTGACCGAAGTTGTAAAGATGTAATAATGCATAAGTTAAAGTGGTATGGTGTTGACTCTAAAATAATAAGACCCAGAAATAAACGAAAGGCGTCAGTTTCTCCAAATACTGTTTCAAAAAGAAACAAAATTTTGTAAAAAGTATTTCTATGGCTCTATCGAATAAAGATGTGTAAAAAAAGAAGTCGACGATTTTCGAAACTATTATTTTCGGCGAGTTGTCTTGTCGACGAGTTGCCCTCGACGAGATGCCCGTTCGACGAAACTGCATTCGACGAGTTGCCCTAGACCCTGTGGAGTGATGTTTTCTAAAACCAAACTGATACAAAGATAACAAGTTATTAGATTCAAAATGTAAAGCAAGTTGATCGAATAAACATTTTCCAAATAATTTAGCAAGTACAGGTTGTATTGATATAGGTCTCAAGTCATTGGGTGTCGCTGGTATACTTTTTTTGGGGATAGGAATAACCTTTGATAATTTCAAACAGTCTGGCAGCCCACCACTATGTATAAAAATATTGAACAAATTAGCAACCTGATTACGAAAATGAATAGACTGCATACATATATTTAGCATTTTGTTACAAATATCAACATTATCTGTGGAGGAGGAATTTCTGTTCTTAGTTTTCATCCAGGCTTCTCTTATAACATCTGCGGTAATGTCCAGAAAGTTGAACTGTAATCCCTCTTCGTCCCATGGAAAATATGGCTTTCTCGGCAAATTTGGTAAGATCACACTTGTATCCCTGGTACATATTGACACAAAAAGGTTGTTAACATAGTCTGGGTTCATTTGGACTTCAGGGGTAGGATGTAGTAGTGGAAAGAGTTTGTTCATGGCTCCCCATAGAGTCTGACCGTTTGCGACAATTTTTTGCGAAACGGAGTCCCGTCAAACGTGGCAAATTCGAAAATTTTGACGTGAGCACACACAATGCTTTCTTATATTTTAAATTCATAATTAAAATCTTGGATTAATCAACTAAAGAATTATACACTAAAATTTTCTTAACTAATCTTAACTTAGAATCGTAAATTAAATAAATTATAAAATGGATATATGAGAAATTTCATAAATTACGTAACGCAAAGTCAAAGGGTGGATTGACGAGCACAGACTTGGTGCAACACCTCTGTTTGCGACACATGTTAAAAATGGATGTAACCCAAATAAATACGCAATTATGACCTTTCCCTACGTAGATTTTCAACATTCCACGTGAACAGGCCCTTGAAGCGGCCTACTCCTACGTTGGGGTCACGATGGACGCTTCGAACGATGAGATTAATTCCGCCTTTCGGCGACAATTTCTCGCCACCCATCCCGACAAAGGAGGCAAGACGGGGGAATTCCTAGAAGTTCAAATCCATATGACAGCCATTCGAGAATTGAGAGGAAAAAAGTAGCCAATTATGGAGTGGATTAAGAGAGAATTTGCAAATGAGGTCCCCGAATCTGAAGGGTATCCGGGATAAATAAAAAGTAAAAGGTTGGAAATTTTACAAGTTTTTTGGAATTTGAGTTTGAAAATATTTATAATAATTTTTGTTTCTTATTAACTTTCCAACAGAGGGACGAAAATGATAAACATTTCAGACTTGGATAAGATTCATAATTAAAATTTGAACTTGAAAGTTTTACAAGTTTTTGAAATGACTTAACTTTTGTATATGTTTATATATATTTAATTATTAATAGATTTAAATCCGCTTGGTGGTTTTCAAATTTCTACCACTAAATTATATACATACAGTCATTTTTGTACTTACATATGTAATACTCGCCCTGCCTTTACATAAATACTATTAATTGCATTACAAAGAATCTGTATAAATTTTATTTCATTAGGAAAAAGGTATATGTATTTATGTTCAAGGATAACTCAAGCTTGAAGAAATTTCGAATTGTACCAAATGCAATTTAATTTTCTTCCAGAATTTGTAATATGTTATGTGAAAGTAAAAATTTCATGAAATTCCTCTCTGACAATAAATAGTTGTACTCAACACATAAAAGTATCAGTATCTTAAGTATCAGTCTCAGTATATGGATGTAGTAATATTTAGGTATTATAGCTCCTCTATGCTTGTGTCTAGAATTTTTCGTAATTATGTAATTATATATATATCACTATAACTCAGTTCGTAAATAATACTGTACTAATTTTTAATCAATGAAACGGCATGTAGGAAATTTTTTAACTTACATGCAATTTTTACATCCATTTTTTTAACCACAAATAAAAATTTGTTCGTAATAGATCAGGTCACTTTTTTATTAAGCCATCAAAATTCATCTCTTCTAAATTCTGAATATTTTATGACCTGAGGCTGTCTTTTCGCCCATGTGGAACGTTTCCCCGAGTTTACTAGACATTTGAAAAAGTAAGAACTAAATATCCAAACTCTGCTTGTACATAAATGTGCTTGTTAGATTATAATTAGAAAATATTAAATCAACGAAACATTGAATTAAACTCAAGTAAAAAATACAAGTTCAATTTATTTACTTGGCAAACTTAAATCGTCTTCTTTGAAGCAGTTCGACTCTTCCAAGTGGAACCTTCCCCCCGTTTTGCACACTCTTTCCAAAGGCTTATACTTTTCTTCTTCTTTTTCTTACCCTGCCGATCCGCGGCGACCATCTGTAGGCGGAGTTGCGCCATGTTTTTTCCCTTCTCGACCATCTCCTTCTTCATCTTTTCTTGTAATTTTGACAATTTCTTCCTCCCAGAGGAGCAATTTGATTTGACGGCATCTTCCACAGCAGCAGATTTCTTCTCACCCGCAGCAACCCCAGATACTTTTAGTGACTCTTTTTTTAAGACGAGTAACGCCTCCATTTGGGCTTGTTCAAGTTTAGCTAATTTCTTTAAATGTTCCATCTTTCTCTTGGCCTCTTTTTTCTCTTCGTCTCGCTGTTCTTGTTTCGATAAATGGGGAGGAATGTGGCTGGCGGGGTTGTCCTGGTTTTTTGGCAGGATTGGAATTACGTTGCAGGGAACGGATTCGAATTCTGGGTCAGAAGTGGGTGTGCTAATTAATATGGGATAAATTTAATTTGGAAAAACTTTAGTATAACGGCTTTTAGATATGGGGTCATATGATACGTCAAATTGTTCAGTTCGACGAGCTGAACAAGAATTTCGAAACCGGAAAGCGCGGAAATGTTCCGTTCAAAAGTAATGGCAGGTCAAAGTTTTTATTTTTTTATTGCATTTTTGGACGTTTCAGAGAATTCTAAGACTTTGTCTCACTTTCCCCCATGGCGGGAAATTTTTTGGGGTATTTTGAGATTTTGGGGTGTGAGATGAGATTTTTGGTAAAATATTGAAATTCCATCATTATTTTTCAAAGCGGGAGGGTTTTCGGGGTAAGATGAGATTTTTAGGGTAAATGAGATTTGAGGTTATTAGCAGAATTTCTGTAAATAGCTACAGCTTTTCGGGGCTTAGTTCGATTTGTGAAAAAAAACGATTTCCATTACCGAACCTGCCGAGGCACCTAATCTAACCGTGCGGAGCTCTCGCGGTCTAACCGTGCGGGGCCCTCCCACTCTAATTGTGCGGAGCCCTCCCACTCTAACCGTGCGGAGCCCTCCCACTCTAACCGTGCGGAGCCCTCCCACTCTAACCGTGCGGAGCCCTCCCACTCTAACCGTGCGGAGCCCTCCCACTCTAACCGTGCGGAGCCCTCCCACTCTAACCGTGCGGAGCCCTCCCACTCTAACCGTGCGGAGCCCTCCCACTCTAATTGTGCGGAGCCCTCCCACTCTAACCGTGCGGAGCCCTCCCACTCTAATTGTGCGGAGCCCTCCCACTCTAACCGTGCGGAGCCCTCCCACTCTAATTGTGCGGAGCCCTCCCACTCTAACCGTGCGGAGCCCTCCCACTCTAATTGTGCGGAGCCCTCCCACTCTAACCGTGCGGAGCCCTCCCACTCTAACCGTGCGGAGCCCTCCCACTCTAACCGTGCGGAGCCCTCCCACTCTAACCGTGCGGAGCCCTCCCACTCTAACAGTGGCCTTCCACTCTAACTTTGCAGTTTCACGCTTTTCGCGTATTGCAACCTAACCTGCTCGCTTCGCTCGCCAAATACGAACCATACCCCACCAGGGGTATTGCCCCACTTTCCTAACCTGCTCCCGTAGCTAGCTTCTCTGTCTAGCCCTGCTAGCTAGCCCTACTAGCTAGCTCTACTAGCTAGCTCTACTAGCTAGCCCTACTAGCTAGCTCTACTAGCTAGCCCTACTAGCTAGCTCTACTAGCCAGCCCTACTAGCTAGCTCTACTAGCTAGCCCTACTAGCTAGCTCTACTAGCTAGCCCTACTAGCTAGCTCTACTAGCTAGCCCTACTAGCTAGCTCTACTAGCTAGCTCTACTAGCTAGCCCTACTAGCTAGCTCTACTAGTTACTAACTAGTAGTTAGCTATTCTGGCTAAAACAAAACCAAAAATCTCATCTCACCCCAAAAGTCTCACAAAGCCTTTATCCCAATTTTTTAGTTGCATTATTATTAGTATATGACTATATGTACATATAACAAACTTTAAAAAACACACAAACAAAATAACCTGATACTTCACCACATAATTAAAATATAAATTTTATACCTTCATGACTGGAACTATCTTAGTATGGGTGAAGAACAATATTTAACATTCTGCCTTTACTTTTTACTCGTATTTTGTTTAACCGTCGTCCTCCCATGCAGAATTCTGTTCCTCCTCCCACTATCTGCAAGTTAGGAGTGCACCTCCACCCACACCCGCGCACTGGAAGTACTGCACAAGGGAGACCTGGGTGGCTTCCGTACAAAAAAAGGATAAGCATTATAACTTATAAAGCAGCTATACATATTTATGTGAATCTAATAACTAAGTGCTAAACACATGTATAAATTGGAATAAATAGATGTAATTACATGCATCATCCAGAGGTAAAGAGCTGTCAGCTGTGCTGCCAATCTATTTAGTAGACTAAAGTTAGAAAAATAAATAAAAGAAGGGAAACTTTTATGCATTTTATTGCCAAGTATTGCATCACCATTATAGAACTCGTTTCAATATGTACATAATTTCTAGAGCTCACATTGTTGGGAAATACTCTGAATAATTTCTCATCATTTACCCACTGTAGAACGATGTAGCAATTTTGTACCATAAAAGTACTCCTTAAATTTGTGGAAAATTAATACATCTGAATTTATTATCTTCACCATAAATATTTTTGCTTAACAAAACTCTGAATTATCAGCTAAACCCACTTTTATATGTTGCCCTTCACGATTCTCTTTAACATTTGAGGATACATTTGTCGCCATCGCGTCCAAAATCTCTCGTGCCACATTTGCTTTCAAGATACCCGTGTCACCGGTTGTACTTAACCAGGCGTCCTCTTCACTGGTGAACATTCCGATTAACACAACTGTCAAAAACCAAAATTATATTTATTGTCATCACCAAGATCATGATTGATTATATTTTTGCTACCCTTGCTGCCCCCAGTGTTGAAAGGAGTCCCATAAATTTTCAGGGGCGCGATTGAACATAAAATTAGAAAATGATAATATCGTCCTCCCCTTGGATCCTGAATTGATCACAGATCTGAGAAATAGTGGTAATTGTGCGGACCAAAGAGTTCCCAGCATCGTCATTACAATTGGCATCGTAGAATTTTTCAAGTTGCTTAGTTGCTCTTCAATTTGTTTAATCCTGGTGGTGAGGTCAATCTCTTGGATTGGTAGTTCTATCCACCCCATTGTCCTAAGCATTGTGAAAAAACACACACTGAGAAAAATTCTATTACCATCCGGTATACATATATGACTCTACCGCAATGGTAACAATATGCATCCATGTAGTAGAAATTGGTTACCAGGTACACTGCAAATAATTCGCTGGTGTTAATTTAATGGTGTTAATTTTGGTGTAAATTTTGTCCCCGTGTAGTGTAAATTTTGTCCCAGTGGTGTCATAATTTACACCACACGGTGACAACACACTTGGTGTTGATATTTGACTATACCAGATTTTGTCCAGTATAGTAATACTTGATGAACAAAGCGGTATAAGTTTATTACCAAATGGTTGCAAATATTATGCCGCTGTAACAAGCGGTATTACTATCCCGGTAGAGTCATATATGATTACCGGATTTTTTTGAGTGCAGGTACAAAGTTACCAATACAAATAATGTGCTTACCAGCATTTCTCAGTTTTGCGGGATGATTGGGAACCGGCATGGGAAAATGGAAGAGAATGTTTCCCTCTACTTTTCCATCTCTTTTCAAAACTAACCTTCTTATCGAACTGGTCAGGCTGGAGAACAAAAATGCTGTGAAAGAAAGGCTTTCAGCCTTCGCTGAGTTTTTCATTTGGAGAAGATTTAGAGGGGATAGGCTTTGTGCAAAGGTGGAAGTTCGAGTCAAGGTGGAGGTACAAGTCGGGGTAAAGATGTCCTCAGTAGTGATCCAAGTTCTTAGATAAGCCTCGAAATATAGAGCGACATCATACGGGATCTTGACCAGGAGGATGGGAAAACTTGTAAATCTTGTGGTCTTTGCAGCAGATATTTTTGGTTTCACTATCTGATCAATAAGCTTGGGGTGACTGATTTTATCCAATAATTTAAGCATGGAATACCCATCAAGGAGTGAGTGATGGTAGCGTAGGATGAGGTGGAAATATCCTTTTCCAGGAATTATAACCACCTCCCATAAAACTTTTGATCCAAATTCCCACCTTTGATTAGCTAGCGATGCGATATATGCCGTTCCCGTGGGTGTGTCTAGATCACCGTGGTCCATGGCATGGACACGGATTGGGAGTTTAAAACTTGGCACATTTTTTCCAAAATAGAAAACCACACCAAGATACGACAGTCTGTTGTAGCTCTGGGTAAAGTAGTGACCCGTTGGGGTCTTCGGCTTGTATAATCTTTGTGGTGAACTCGGCCTTGAGCTGTTTTAAGTCTAGCAAGGGAAGGTCCTCGACTGCTTATCGTGTCCAGGGTACCCACTATGTTTTTTAGAATCTACTAGGACCCCAGACGAAGGATCCATTCATGTTTCCGTGTTAATCGCATATTTGGCGCCATGGCGTGGCGCCAAACTTAAAAATCTGCGTTTTCGACCAATTTCAAACCTCCATAACTTTTCTAGTTTCCACGGGATTTTCAAAATTTTGGGCTTAAAATGATCACAAAGGTCAAAATTTTAAGAAATAAATGAAAAATGAAAAAATTTTATTTTTGATATTTTTTTTGGCGAATCCCCAAGCGTAAGAAAATTCCAAAATTTTGACAAAAATTGAAACAATAAATTTTTTGAAAAATTTCATGGCATACGAAGGTTGAACTGTTTTTAATGATTTTTGGAATTTTTTTTGAAAATCCGCCCAGGATTTCAAAAGTTATGGCGGTTTCAAAAATAAAAACATATAAATTTGGCGAGTTTGGCGCCACGCCATGGCGCCAAATATGCGATTAACACGTAAATATGAATGGATCCTTCGTCTGGGGTCCTAGTAGATTCTAAAAAACATAGTGGGTACCCTGGACACGATAAGCAGTCGAGGACCTTCCCTTGTAGGATGCCTTCAAGTTTAAAGGATAGCACGATGGTATCCCAGTTCTCCGATATGCCACGCGAGGTGGCCGCCGTTGTTACCATTTTCCCCAATCCTGACGGCCTTATCCGTTTTGCCGATTGGGTGGCTATCCATCGTAAAAGGAGTGGGGGGAGGAGGAGAATGATAATCGGTGGGAGTAGAAGTACAGTCAAGAAGTAGAGAATTGTTAAAACTGAGGAGCGAAAGATATGATGGACCAGTACGCCCGGACCCATGCTTGATTCTCAACTAAAAGCAAAAGTTGATGGTTATGGACTAATTTGTGTTAAACAAAGTATAAATCATTGTATTATGGGAAAATCCTGATTCTGAAGTACGATTTGGTATTCCGCATATTTTTGTTCTTCATGCCTGGATAAAATAATTCCCACGTGTTTTTCTTCATGATGCCTGGATGAATTTGATATAAAATAATAATTCCCACGCCTGCACAAAATTTGATATGGGTTAACTTCGGCACAGATGTGTATATGTGCAACAATGAACTTGATATTGGGCATTATAAAGAGTATTACTACTCTGAGAATATAGCTGGATAGATCGTTCGATATGCCCGATATTTAAAGTATCTAAATCAATTTAAATCCCAGGCTGGTTTAATGATTGCAAATTATAATGTGCAATTATAATCATGGTGAAAAGTACAAATGATATAAATAACGCTAAACTATCGCTTATGAGTATCAAATTTTGAATGCATGGCTTAAACCTTCAGTGCAGACTTTATTTATGATGATTGGATTACATTGTTATTACATGGAAACCCGTACCTCCCATTTATGTATAGTCACACTGTCGGACATATTTTCCTTGGACATTTAACCAAGGAAAATTATGAAAGGTGCTACATTTAGTATCGAAATCACTTTTGCAAATTCACTTCTCAAAACGTTACATGGACATGTCCAAAATTGTATTCCATGGTCCTGCCGGATCACCTCAGCACCAAAAGTTTGACTCTAACAAGATAAACTAAAATTTAATCCGAGTAGTGAAATACTTTGTAGTTTTGCATTGACAAGTTCATACTCTTAGATTCTGGTGGTGTCATTTTCGACACTAGGGAGCTGAAATTTTGCACATATTTATGATGATTATAATATTTGCTAGCACACCTAAAAATTTCAATTCAATATTAAAATTGGCGTCAGGGTTACTAAATTCAGAAGCATACAGGTATTCAATTAAAAGTGGACACCTTTGGTAAAATTACGCTGTTTAAGACGGTGAGGTGAATACCCCAATTATGTTTATATCTTAATATTTGCTGCAACTTTAACTGCCCCAAAGTTTAACTGTAAATAAGAGGCATTAACCTCACCCGGTAAAAATCCTAACTGTAGTAAAATTCGCAAACTAAAACAATTTTAACTGGAAGTTTTTGGAAATTTACGAAGTTTGCCACTAATTTGTGACGTAATTACCCCCATTTTATGTCGTAGGGTCAATCTAACGACACGTCAATATGTTTGGGGCCTTGTTTAAGTCTCATTTCCTCCTTGTCATCTTCCCATTTCATCATCCGAAGGATCTCATCACACTCGTCGAAGGGGAGGACCCTCAACCGGTTGAATAGTAAGGCCAAGAATAAAGAGAGAGGCAGGGGTCTTGTTTAAACATTTTGACCACACTGCATATTGATAAGCAAGAATCGAGCTCCAAGTATTATCCCGGAAGTATGTAATGAGAGACCACATGAATTATAACATAAATTATAACTCTTATTTCATATTATTTTCATCGGAATGCACTACACTGTATAAGCAGGTCAATAAATTACGTCTGAATGAAACTAACCCTAACGGCCGTATTCTGAATCACATTTTTAAGTGTGAGTGGGAGTGGCCACTCACATTTTGTATTCTTTTAAAATGTAAACTGTAAGTGGCCACTCCCACTCACACTTAAAAATGTGATTCAGAATACGGCCGTAAGTATATAAATGCATGAGTTTTGACTCATGCATCCAGAATCGATGTATTTGCTACCAAACATCTTATCCCTGCTTTGCTTTAACTATGTAAATTCACTCCAAACTTAGCAGTCATGCAAACCGTGGGGTATAGCAGAAATATGTATATGTAGAGCTTACACATCTCGTCGATTCCCATAATCATCTGTTCCACCAATCTTTCAATTACCAATTCATCTCAACTCTGGCAAAAGTCAATATCTTTCACTTTGCACGATCAAATCCTAAATTTATCTCCCATCTCTCAAAGTGAAATTGCCATGACTACAGGATTTCTTGGAGGGGGATGCCTTAACCCGATGGATTTTCAGAGTGTGAAATACTTTACAGAAGAAAATGGCGTAGCTCACATCCTCCTCAACCGACCCGAGGGCCTGAATGCGATTGATTTTCACATGCCGGCGGAAATAGAGGCGTCCATAAATCTCGCCAGATGGAAGCCAGACGTCAAAGCGATTCTCCCTTACGGCGCTGGTGACGCTTTTTGCTCTGGTTACGACCTCAAAATGTTTGCTGAGGGAGGCATCAGTGCAACAGCCGGAGATCAAAAAATGCCTTGGGATCCACTCATTGATTTTCAGTTGGCTCAATATTGATCATTCAACAATCCACCACCGACGACTAAGTCGCCTTAAAGATGTCTTCAGGATTTCCCAATGTCCGCCTGTAAGATATCCATACGACGTCTTCAGGAAATTCTCATTCTTATACAACGTTCGGACCTCCAAAAGACGTCGTATTGATATCTTACAGTAGCACATTGGGAAATCCTGAAGACATCTTTAAGACGACTTAGTCGTCTGTGGTGGATTGGGTGGTTTTAAATTATGAGCAATTTTTTAACCAACTTTTTCTCCCAGGTTCATGTCCGCCTGTAAAACGGCATTCATGTAATCTGGCGAAGCGTGAAGCCAGTCGTGGCTAAAATCCAGCGTGTCGCAATTGGAGGTGGGAGCGATATCGCGCTCGCCTGTGATGCCAGTGGCATCATGCCACCTTTATTGCGGACGACGCAATAAAGGTGGCATGATGCCGTGTGTGGGGATGCCCGACAACAGCGTTCTGGTACTATCGGGTCGGAATGGAGAAGGCGAAACGAATCTTGTTCACGGGTACTGAATACCATGACCCAGTTTTATAGATAGCTGAAACAATGGCCGTACTTACGAGTACGTTCTTGTGTCGCAAGGTAACCTTATTTGGCAAATTTGCTAAATAAGTTTCCCAAATAAATACATGCCCTGGAGTTGAGTAAACTTGCGAAGAGAAATCGTATGGTTTTTCAGCCAAAGTTTTGCACAATTTCGTAAATTTTGTTTTGTTGCTATGCATAATTTACGAGATTTGTCACATTTACGGGCATTTTAATCATATTTGGTCTTTGTAAATTTCGCAAGCTATGCCCAGTTTACGAGATTTGCTAGATTTGCCAACAGTGATGTGAGTACGGCCAATACTTGTATTTTTAACAGGTGAAATTCTGTCTGGAAAAAAGGCAGCAGAAATCGGCTTGGTGGGTGAATCATATCCAGATCCGGAATCGTTGAATTGCGCTGTGGAAGATTTTCAAGCAAGGATTGTGACTGTGCCAAGCAATCAACTTTGGTTCCAGAAGCAGATGGTGAATTACGCAGTGGAGCAGACTGGTCTGCTATCCACGCAAAGATTAGCCACCATTTTGACGGGATGAGTCGCCACAGTCCTGAGGGTGTGGCTTTTCAGAAAAGATCGGCCCAGGTTGGTTTCAAGCAGGCCGTGTTGGAAAGAGACTCTGGGAAGTAGGCGCTGTGGTCAAACCTGACCAGTTCCAAACTGTAATTGGGGAATTTGTAGATACAAATGGAACGTTTCTATATTTCTGATTGAAGGGATATAAATTTTCCATAAATTTTCCATATTCAACTCTTTTGTGAATAATTTTAGCCAACTAAATGTTGAAAAAATTGTTAAATTGAAAACTATACGTTGGAAACATTTTGCTATTTTCTAAATTACTTAAACTTCAATCAATCAATTTATTAAATGACATATGGCCTTTGGCTCTTATCATGTTTACATAGTTTACACTAAACATGTTCGCCCACATTGTCTTGAGTTTAGTCATTTCAACTTTTTAATGAATATTTTGACAAATCTGAGAATTTAGACAATTGTCGATGGAGCTACCATCGACAATTCTACAAATTCTCAGATCTATACGATAAGCGGTTATCGATTCCGAGCCGTTCGAAACTCTGACTGGAGGAGAGAGGAAGATTCCATTTCAGAGAAATTCTGGTACGAGGTCAAAATTTGATTAATTAACTGTCAATTATAAATTATGTGAAAATGGTTCAAGTTTAATTAATCAACTGCCAATTATGAATTCTGCGAAAACGGTACACATTTAGTTGAATTAACTGTCGAGTACGACAACACAATTAATTGATTTGGAGTGTCATTCTGATACTTGCTACTCGATATTCTATAAGTGTGCGCAATATCATAATTTTCCTCGTAACTTTGAACGTATGATTAAAATTGAAGGTTATTTGAACCCGTGTTTACTGTTGATGGATCGATTTTTCAGAAATCAACACTTATGCATAGATGGCATAGATTGCATAGATTTAAAAAAATTTACAAAATATTGCCTGTTCTGGACTTTTGATGGTCGGAATAAAGTTATTTACCCAACTCTTTACCCGAAAATATATTTTTTTAAACGAAATTCGAATTTTTTAGTTTAAAATTTTCAAAGTCCAAAATGATCATTTCAATTTTCAAAAATCAATTGCAGATGTTTTCACTCCTAAAATTCGCCAATAGGTTTATTTAACAGAGCTAAATAGGGTCTTCAATAATCTATATTATAATTTCGAAAAGTCCGTCCCGTGAAATTTTCCGTGACATTCCAGCATTCTGATTGGCTGTTGGGATTCTAAGCGCACCAATTAGCTTAGATTATGGTTATGATTATGGTTATGGTTATGGTTATGGTAAAACGTGAAAAAAATTCCCTAGAAACGTTAAAAAACTCCTTAGCAACGTCAAGAAAATTCCTTAGCAACATCAAAAAAAATTCCTTACCAACGTTAAAAAATTCCTTAGCAGTGTAAAAAATATTCCTTAGAAACGAAAAAAATTCCCTAGAAACGTTAAAAAAACTCCTTTGCAACGTCTAGAAAATTCCTTAGCAACGTTAAAAAAATTCCCTAGAAACGTTAAAAAACTCCTTAGCAACGTCAAGAAAATTCCTTAGCAACGTTAAAAAACTCCTTAGCAATGTTAAAAAAATTCCCTAGAAACGTTAAAAAACTCCTTAGCAACGTCAAGAAAATTCCTTAGCAACGTTAAAAAACTCCTTAGCAATGTTAAAAAAATTCCCTAGAAACGTTAAAAAATTCCTTAGCAACGTCAAGAAAATTCCTTAGCAACATCAAAAAAAATTCCTTAGCAACGTTAAAAAATTCCTTAGCAACATCAAAAAAATTCCTTAGCAACGTTAAAAAATTCGTTAGCAATGTTAAAAATATTCCTTAGAAACGTTAAAAAACTCCTTAGCAACGTCAAGAAAATTCCTTAGCAACATCAAAAAAAATTCCTTAGCAACGTTAAAAAATTCCTTAGCAATGTTAAAAAACTTCCTTAGCTACGTTAAAAAAATTCCTTAGCAACCTTACCAAAAATTGCCTAGCAACCTTACAAAAAAATCCTTAGCAACACTAAATAAATTCCTTAGCAACCTTAAAAAATTCCTTAGCAACCTTACCAAAAATTGCCTAGCAACCTTACAAAAAATTCCCTAGCAACCTTACCAAAAATTGCCTAGTAACCTTACAAAAAATTCCCTAGCAACCTTACCAAAAATTCTCTAGCAACGTTAAAAAAATTACTTAGCAAAATGGTCGCCCATTTTCAACGCGGCCCGTCTTTAAGACGGGCTTGTAGGCTGGTCAGTAATAAAAAGCTGCCCTAATTCATAAATGACCCCACATTGACCCTTCAAAATACCCCGGTTTGGGGGGTTTTTGAACTTTGACTTTCGATTTCTCAGCCAATGTTTGTTCTACAGCGACGAAAAAAATATCCCTGTACTCCACTGGATGAGGAGAATCGATTCCATACATTTTTGGAACCACACCCCCTCTACGAGCAAAAAACCCCCCCTGGGGGACCACACCCACTTATTAGCTCGCCCTGCGTAGCAGAGGAGCTATTGAATTCCTCCTGTCCGTCTGTCTGTCCGTCTGTCCGTCCGTCTGTCTGTCCGTCTGTCTGTTCACGAGTTTTTTGCATCAATTGATGCTAATTAATTTGCCCCATGTGCAAGTTTCAGCAAATTAGTAGCACCACTGATATCGAACAATCCGTGACTCAAAATGGCCAAATCGGTCCAGTGGTTGACCTGTGGGGGTTACTTGAATACACCCTATGAGGTTATCCTGCACCAAATTTCAAACATTTAAATTTGGCTTTGTTTTGCGCTGAAAAATATGGTGCCCCCAATGGCAACCATGTGCTTCATTACTCGAAATTTTAATGCAAAAATGAAATATTTGAGGATTCATACTGGTATTGCCTCACGTCCGACCTATTGTATCTGACGTCAGGATAACTCTTCAAACTTTTGGGTATTGCATATATGTGTTCATATCAGATGCTTCATAACGCGACACTTTTTAGCAGGTTGATTTAGCACCAAATTTAAAGCGCATTATATTTTTGGTTGGATTTCATGGTTGTAATGTGGTTTAGTAGATAACACGTCTGTCTGGAAAAATTTTTATTATTTTGCATATTGCATACTGCGCACCCCTGGCTCGGGCTAAGCAAAGCTGTGTACGGAGGTTGTTATTATTATTTGTGTTCATTCATTGATAAAACTTTTTCTGTGCATCCGATATATAAATTACACTATGTTTGACTGAAGATTATGCCAAAGTTATGTCCCATTAAATATTAGAGGGCGAGCTACTTCTGCCGTTACAACGGTTTATTTTTTTAAAAATCCCCCAAACCCCATTAAGTTGACCCTAAGGGTCAGGAAAAAAATTACTTCGACTCCATCCGAATTTTTATAATTTCAAATGCCTTCTAAAACACTGTGATACGGCGGGGTATTTTGCGATCTACCATGCCGACTTGTTATTCGTATTTTGATTATCTTTTCCATTATAATTAAATCAAGTTACTGTCGAGTATCATCTACATGGCTTCCAGCTATTTATGAATTTACGAAAATATTATATACCAATTTAGTTTAGTTTTTTTGAAAGTAAAAACTAGTATTATTTTTCAAAATTGTATCCTTACAAAAAAATTCATCCTCTCCTATATCAAACACACCGTCGAGGTACTAAATTTCAAATAATTTCTAAACTTTCCAAAATTTTCTGTCGGAATGTATAATTATGCAGACCTACTTTGCCATTGCAACACAAACACTTTTATGCTTCTTCCAGTCTAACTGTTGGCACAACCTGCCACAATACGCCACACCCCGACATTTGCCACAGTTGTGGAGGTCAGTGCTTTTAAACTCGTAAGTGTACGTCCGACACGGAGGTTCTGGATGATGTCCTTCAATCTGACCACAATACCCGCAAATTCGCCGATCCCAATATTTGAAAATGTTGGTCTTAACCTCTTCGCTCTCATAAAAAATAACTCAAAATTCCGTTAGCTACCATTTTATCAGATCTCACATGCCAAAAATGTGAAAAATCAAGAATTCCACTTTTTTGCATGGCGTTGATATAGGAAAAGTTCAAATTTTTGGGAGAAAAACTCTACAAAAATTCCAATTTTTACTATGGAGTTTTCCACTTTTTGGCACTGGAGTTTACCCATTTTTCATTTTTTTCCCTGGTTTCTGGTTGTCAGCGAGAAATTTCAAATTACACAACTTTGTGTAATTGGTAGCCAACGGTATGAAAATCATTACACAACATTTGTGTAACTGGTAGCATGGAGGTTAATTCTGTTAACATGCTCGGTTCGCGGTGTTTTATTCGCACAATGGTTCAACTGCTTGGTGTATTCGGTCTCAGTGACCTCGACCTAAATTGAAATTTTTAAATCGTAAAAATTTTGTAATTTATCGTTTCCTTCATGTCCCAACCTTTTCTTTGATCACTCCCGGAAATCCTGCAACATATTGGTCCCAGTCCCCGTGAACTACAACCGTTCCAAACTCCCCTTTGTATCCAAACTATCTTGCGGTTGGATCCACAACATAGACACCTCGGTTGGCAGTTGAGCTTGGAGAAAGGCGTGAGAAAATACCAGGCCGACGTCAGGGTCGGTGTATTTGATGGTGTAGGTGCCCGGGACCGTTTACCGTGGAGACATGTGGGGGCCGCAACAGTGTAGATGGAAGGGGGAGTAGTTTATTTAACACGGAGATCTTATCCACAAACCATGGGGACAATGTCCCCATTCCTCCGCGGCCACTGTATATCGAATATCTAAAAATATCCGATCCATCCTAATCCGTTTTAATGATGGATCGGATATGGATTTATCCAAAAATTGGATATCCGACTCAACTCTAGTACTAATGTCAAAATTTTATATCGCATCGCGTTGCGGGGTCGGAAATTACAACGTTTGAAGTGAGTCCGTTTCTCAAAACAATCGTCGCAAACCCTCAGAATTTATTTCTGCCGTCAAAATGTTATCGTTTCCATGGAGTCTGTTTTTAATTTAGGTAACATATTTTTCAAAATTATTTTACGAAATAAAACCAAGCTTTCGAGAGTCGAAAATTTGCCAAACGTATTTTCTATGGGAAACTTTGCGAAATTTCGCAAGCTCCGCAAGTTATGCGACCTTTGCGAAGTTGACGTGCGTACGCCCAAAAATCATTCGTGGGTGTATTTTTGGCCAAACTTGTTGCCCTCGCTCCAACGAACACAATCAACCTTCCAAACCCAAATATGTAGTATGGAAAGAAAACACAGCAAGTTGAGTCACGTATTATATAAGAAATCAGATCTAAACTTTCAATAGTCATCTGTTATGCGGAACAAAATACATATTGAAAAAGCTTAATTAAATTTGTGTAGAATAAAATAAAAAGCAAATATTTATCATGACGACTCGCCAGTGTTCGGTTGTTCAAATTCTTACAATTATTATTGGTCTACTTAATTTTGTAAGTAATTGAGACAAAACATAATAAGGGGTTTTTTAGCACAGACTTTACAGATCTCAGAAAAAGGTAATTTTTTCTGGATAAAATGATTTGCAATTTGGTCACAAAAACCTGATTTAAAGAAATTTCGTCCTTTTTTGAAAATTTTAGGAATTAATTAAACTTTTTCGGAAACGAGGGAAATTAGATTTAACTATTTTCTAAAAAATCGTGGATTCTTTAAATCACTTTACAAGTAAAATATAAAGATTTAGCCGGAATTAGGACTTGCGTTTTCCTCAAATCTGTAAACTCTGTGCTACAAAAATTCACAATTCCGAAAGACATTTATTTTTTACTCGAGATTTGTAAAATATTTTTTTAGATACTTGGAGTACCAATTCTTGCCCATTATTTCAAGGAGAACCATGACTACAGTAAACATGATGACGCCTTATCGAGGGAGAGCCGTGATGAGGGTAAGATTGACGTAAAATTCTCCACCAATGCATTTATAATTCATACCAAATAACTTTTACAGGTTGGCGTTGGAGCGTCTCTGACATAATTAGGCTGATCGTGGTTTTAATCGTTCTCTTAATCTTGATAAGTTTAAGTATCGGTTGTGTCTGGTCTGGATTTGAGTCAAAATACCAAGAATTATTGGCTAGAGGTGCGCTAATTGAGCTTAAAATTATTGCCGTAATTTGCGCCTTGAATTGTCTCGTAATGTTCATCCTGGGCTATCACTGGATTAATCTGATCCCCCTATTGGTGTGGGGATGCGTGATGCAAGTAATATTTTGCGTCGTGATTAGTTTCTACGTAACGGAATTGACGGTAAGAAGAGGTGGCAGTGAATTAACCATCCCGGTGCGAAATATCACTTAATATCACTTAGTATTACTTTCTCTCTGAAACCTTTAACCAATTCCAAGGACTAATTAATTCCGAAATTTCCAAATTATCAACCTTTTACAAACAATTGCATAATGTGACCCAAGTGCTTGGCGTGAGACTTACTGCATGTAGTAGAGAAACTTTGCATGAGATTTCGATAAGTAGCAAATTTTTATTTAAAGATTTGAGTAGTAATTATGTATCACGTTGTAGTATTTTAAAGATTGCTGATCTCTTTGGAGTAAACCAACTAAAAAGTTTACAATTACTACCAGCAGCAGTTAAAAGGCATGCAATTTCTGAGAGGAAAACGTATATTGATGCGGTTGCCATGGTTACTGACTCACCCGATGTTAGATATCTCTTCACTGTTTAGAGAGTCAGATAGTGTGTTGGTTGCCAAGGAGACCAACTCCCTTCACTGCTTACGCGTGCACCAGAAAATTAGATGGGAAGAGCTGGACATTGCTGCCTGCTCTCACCCACAGTGGAAACGCTTAGCCACCACTCCAGTATCCAACCCAGAGAAGGACACTGTTTTCAAAATTTGGCATAACGTAGGTTTGACCCCTTCGATTGCACACTCACTTAAAATTTACACTAATTTTTTATGTCCATTTTGCAACACATTAAAACCAGAGGTAGATCACTATTTAAAATGTCCACATACATTAGATTTGAGGAAAATTGTGGCAAAACTCCTCTCAAAACTAGATATTCACACGGGAGCCTTCGACGATGCTTTCCTTCATGGGGTTAAGCATGCGGGTGGCAATATTTTAATCTTTTATGCTTATAATATTATTTGCAAGGCTTTTGTCCACCGATTAAATAATTATTCAGGCAATTTTGATCTCATTTCTTCATTCCGTCACATTCTTTATGGGCGGATCCTGACTGATTTTTATGCATGCAGTATGAATACGAGCCTGTATCCTAAATTTTATAAAAATTGGGACAAATTTGATATATATAAAATTTCTAAGAATAAAATCGATATTAATTTAGGATTTTGAACCATATTATGACGCAATTAACTTTCCTTTTATGCACGATTAACAAATCCCTAGTCGTTAGTTAGTCGAAATTTAGTTGTAAGATAAATTTACCTATATTTTTATGATGCGATAAACTGTGATAAAATGTGAATGGTGGGATATATTAATATATTTTTGCTACCAAAGCGTTATGAAAGCCTAATATTATGGCAGCAATATTGTCTTAATTATTTAACTATATTAATTTAATTGTAACATTTTAAGAGGCAAGGAAAATTGTGGAGACAAGCACTGGCTTAGTTTCAACCCCTGACGGCCAATCTAGTAAAGCCTTGTCGAGAAAACGTCGCCTCAATAATTTAAAGATTAATTTGTAATTGATGGTGAATTAAATTAATTGGAATAAATTCGTACGTTGAGTTAAAAAAAAATATCGCTTAAATTTGATATTTCTATTATTCAAAATTGTGTAATCATGATAATAAACTACTGTTGCCAATTTGCTCGTATTTATTACAAGTTATGCTACCTGCTACAAAAATTTATGACAAAAAATATGTTGACTGGAAAGATGACTATGACTATGACGATGACTATCATAGAATTGAAATTCTAGTTGGCCGTTTGCTTATTTGTTTTTGGTAAAATAATAGACGCATCTTACTTACATCTGTATCTACCCATGCGGCGAATGATGTGCCATGAAAAATTAAAGTGTACAGAGCAGCAGCAATGAAGGTGCGCAGAGAGTAAAATGATAGTGCAGCTGGCTCTATTTTACCCAAGGTACTAATGGACGTACTCAGTCACCCTCTCAAACATCGCATCGCAACATAACTTGCAAAGCTTGCCAAATTTTGCAAAGTTTCCCATAGAAAATGGGTTTGCGAAGCTTCGCAAATTTGCGACGCTAGAAGGCTTGTTTTTATTTCGTATAATAATTGAGCAAAACCCTTTTCCAAAATTAAAGACAAACGCAATGGAAACGATAACATTTTGAGGATGGCAATAAAGTCTGACCGTTTGCGACGATTTTTTTGCGAAGCGAACTCACGTTTAAGGTAGCAATTTCGAAAAATTGTGTTGCGATGCGACATAAAATTTTGACGCAAGTATGCAAAATATTCGTGAACATTTTACTAGAGCAGCAAGTAATTTAAGACGTTTAGTTCTAGTAAATTTTACAAAAAATCCTTTAATTATCGTGTCATTGATTTATGGAATAATATGCGACAAAATGTGGATCATATATGTACAAAGTCAAGCTACAAAACAAATGATCTATCCTTATATAATTTACCATGTTAGACATGCACTCAAACATTTTTATATCAAGCCTCACTCAATATAATTTTTTATCACAATTTACCTGATTACTTAAACTTAAAATACTTTTAGAATCGTTCTTGTGACAGGGTAAGAACTAATTTTCTTTAAATGTTGTACGCATTTGCATGTAAATATGATACTATTGGAATCAAGACTATTACTATTAAAAATGACTAGACTTCCCCAAATAACTTGTAAATATATTCGATAAGTTCCCACCCTTTTATGTTTTCTTGTTCGTACACAATAGTGCGTCCTTCCTCAACACGTCGTGTAAATAGACAACCCAGATTCCGATCGAGAGTGAAAATGCGTTATATATGAAGTGGAACAATAATGTGTTAATTGATGATTTAGCGAAACTAATGAAGAGTAAGGTTGCTCCACATCTCGCAATTTCTGCCAAGGCAGCAATGTACTTCCTGTCTTCTAAAACTAGGCTGAGACTCGTCAACGTGGAGATGACATAGGCCACGGAAAAAATGACGCTGGTCTGCGCCAGGTTCTGAGAAAGTAAAGCATACATTATGCATTTAGTAAATTAAACAGAAAGTCATACATAGGCCGTACTCACGTCAGGTTCCTATGTCGCAAAGTAAACTTATTTGGCAAATTTGCGAAATAAGTTTGCCAAATAAATAAATGCCCTGGAGTTGAGTAAAAGCGAAGACAAATCCCATTGTTTTTTAGTCAAATGTTTTGCAAAATCTCGCAAATTTAGTGAACTTGGCAAGGTATGTTGCTATGCCCAATTTACGAGATTTGCCACATTTACCAACAGTGGCGTGAGTACGACCATGGTTTAAAAACCTTACCAAATAATTAATCGTCAAGTAATGGAATCCAAGGAAGGTGCATAAATAGTGTGATCCAACATAAAGGTTTTTCCAAGTTGGAAGTTTTACATGAAATCGTGGCCTATTTTGGACCTTGAATGGAAGAGAAGTGATTAATTTATTAAGGTGTTAATGCACTGATGTCTAAAAACCCTACCACTGGGACATCTTCAATTTCACCAAGTCTTGGTTTCCCCCTCCGCCAGGCGGGTCCTTTCAGTAAGACGGATAATTTATCCGACGGAGATTTTTGATTTTGTACTCTCGTCCAGATTCGTGTGTAATGGAAGAACTGAAAATATATAATTCCCGAAATATATTTACACACATTAGAGAGATAGAGAAATCTGTATTCTAAAGTAGTTGGATTCTAGAGTTGTATTCTGGTGATAAGATTTGTACTGTCGGCGAGAGTTGATTTTACGATCTTGGATGTACACTGAATTTCATTTTGTACTTCGAGTGGTTGAGAGTCTAAATTTACCAAGGCGCGAATTTTGAATCTATGTACATTACAATCAAGTTCCGAGTAAGACCTCGTTTCGTCGGTCTGTACTCTAGTCACCTCTACAGCAGAATGTATAATCCAAATCTAGAATACAGCACCTCTACCTCTTTATTATAGCTTCTTCCATTCTAAATACTTACATGTAGCCAAAACGGATTAAATGAGTTTACTTCTTCAACCAACCCATACACAATTTTCTCTTGGTCCCGCTCCTCCGCAAATGTATTGAACATGCGATCCCAAATGATGAGGACTCCTCCAAAGTTTTTATCTATACAATACCTATTGCTCCCGTGATGAACCCTTCCAAACCAAAAAATCGGTGTAAAATTATAAAATAGTAGAAAACCTGTTTTCACCCAAATCCGCACTTACACACCGATAGGCGTATATCAATACCAAAACAGTATTGATTTGCCCTTTCTTCTTTGCTGAAACGTTAACAATGTAGTACCGATCCGGTACTATATGTAATAAAACATTGAAATTCCAATCCCTGGCAAAACAGTACTGATACAACACAGATCAGTCGTTATTGAAACAGCAGTGGGCTTATCAGTACTGTTTCAATACCGTTTCAGCACTGAAAAAAGGGGCAAATCAATACTATTTACGTACCAAATTCCGGTGTGTATTCTCGAATTGAGTAGTTACTGAAAACACCGGTTTTGAAAAATTCCCTACCTGTGATGTTTCGGAGTATTGAGGACATACTCTAACGGTCCCAGACTGTCAATTAGTTCAGTGTGGATCCAGAATTGGTAGAGGAGGTTGAACTGTTTGTGAATCAGGAGGATGGAAGGTGGTACAAAGAATGCCATCGGTAAGTAGAACGGCCAAGCCAGCCAGATTTGGAAGGCTGAGAGCCGCAACGCTGTTGTGAGATTGTAGTAGTCGGAACTGTGATGGACTTGGTGTTTAGCCCAGAATATGTTGACCTCTGATAATTCAATTTTTTTAGAATGTGACACGAGTAGAATGGGTAAGTAATCTGATGTGAACTTACCATGACAGGCCCGGTGGATCCAGTAGTAGCAGAAATCCACAGAAATTGCGGCCACATACCATGTAAACGGGGAGGACCACGGGAGCTCGTAGATTTTGTAGTTCTCATATATTTTTGTATATACGTAGCTGAACATCCCTTGGGTGAGCATCCTGTAGGGGGAGACTTGTCTAATTACTACCAATGTGATTGAATTTTTATTAATGTGCCCCATGTCCTGGATGCGGTAATTCTTAAATATGTTGAGATTTCAAAATAGAATTACTTTTTTAATTTTTGACTGATTTATAACTTCAATTTTTTGGAAACTTTGAAGGTCTGGGAAGAATATGTATTTCCAAATTTTTCTATTTCAAAATACGCGACATGCAGGTCAGAAGGTCAACAATTTTCTCTACCTACAATTTTTGACATTTCGGTAGTCAATTCTTGTTTTTAAAAAATTGTAGACAATACACGTTGTCCCCCGAGGTAATCTTATTGGGTGTAGTAAGACGAAATTTGAGATTTGGTATACTCGCAGATTCCAGAGATTTTTTGTCACGCTACTATTGACGGCCTCGTCGGAAAACGAATAAGTTTATTACCAAATGGTAGCAACGTACTGCCCCGCGATCTCTGTATTGCAATCCCGGTGGAGGCATATATGATTACCGGATATTTTTCAGTGTGCGGTATAATTAGACGATATAAAATATTGCAATTTATCAAGTGTTTGACAACAGTGGAACTTTCAAAAATTTTTAAAAGTTAAATTTCAGTACGCCCCTCGTCACACACACAATGACCGCACCCAATACAGGGAACGACGTAAGTTTCCGGTGCCCAAGCAAAAACTTGCTTCGGAAATGTGGAAAATTGCTCTTCTTTTGCCTAATTGTTGACATTGTGATCTGGTTTGCTGGTCGAAGTTAAAAAAAATGAAAATATATATTTTTCACAGGGCTTCAAAGTTTCTAAAACATTTTCAAATTTGAAAACCGGTCAACAATTGAAGAAATAAATCCAATTTAAATTCTCTATGTATTTAACCATTAGAGGATGCGCCACTAAGGAGAGATGGTATACGTCCACTGACGATGCCACTCCCACTAAAAAGTGCAACAAAGGGTAAAAATGTTTGGAAAATTCGAAAATGCTGCAATTTGTTATTGGATCAAGTAATTTGAGCAAATAATATGCAAAATTTTAAATTTCAATTCAAATTTGATTTTTGAATGTAGCAACTTTCGATTGTTTTGCTCCTTTCCGGGGGTGTGGCCAGGACCACAGACTTTTGCAACTCTCGTCAAATCAGTCATTGCAAACACCGTCGTATCCCCTCCTGATGACCAATGGTGTGTTAATATAAATAAATAAAAATTCAACCACGGTGACTCATACACTCAAAATAAATTTATAACGAATTATTATCAATCGGAGTTCCTATTATTCTCTACTGTGCTGGTTAGAAATTGTCAAACAATGGTAACAAGTATTTCCACTAAATTCAAACTTATCACTCCCCTGTGAAGAAATTTATACCGAGCGGTGATAAACTTGAATTTCGTGGAAATACTTGTTACTATTCTGCAACAATTTTTAACCAGCAGGGTCGAGCATCATAGTAACTCCGTAATGATTCCTTACCAAATTATTGTTAGTGTAGTAAGAGTGAACATTAGAAAAAATATGGTCAAAACCAGAATCACGTGTAACAAATATGACCGGGTCATATTTGCGCGGCTGCGTGTGTAGATTTTCCGTAACGCTCCGAATCTCTTAAGAGTGGTCAAAAATTTCAAAATGCGTATGGAAAATGTAGAGACTACCCTCCACTACAATTTACAAATTTGTTCCGATAGTTTTGACTACTCACAAGTATAGTTGTAGAGGGGACTTTTGGGAATTTTGGGATTCCCAATTTTCCCAATCTTCCCCGAATTTTTTTTATTTCCCCATACGCCCAATGTTAAAATAAATTCCCTGGGAATCACTTATCGCTCCGTGGGAACTTTACAACTCTACTTGTGAGTGGTCAAAACTACGGGACAAATTTGTAAATTGTAGTGGAGGGTAGTCTTCACATTTTCCATATGCATTCTGAAATTTTTGACCAATCTCAAGAGATACGGAGCGTTACGGAAATTCTAAATACGTAGCTGCCCAACCTGCCTAATATTAAAGGGAGTTTACTCCTTAAATTTAATTTGCTTCCTAATTTAATTCCTTACCCGTGTGCTAGGAAATAAATTCCGTGCGAAAATGATGTCAAACTGTCCGCCATGCTCCATCCCCCCCTCAAGGAGCCATGTTTGATCCACATGACTACAATCTCGAGCACTACGAATGTTAAAAGGTATGGAATTGCCTGTACGTAATTAGACACAAAATTAACCACTTGCACCCCAACTCAAATAAAATTCTTAGTGTGCAACCCACCTGTACAAAATAATCTGGCTGTGAAAAATCCTCCCGTAGGGGAGTTCCAGTCCCATTGTGGTATTGATTTATTAATTTTCGAAACTCGGCAATCACCTCCGCCATGGTGGGAAGTTAATGTGATAAAGAAAATGTGGCAAGTTGAGAAGCCACCGTGACGTTGCCAATGTCAGATAAGGAATGAAGGGTGAAGGGAATCTAATTTTTTGGTGAGACGCGATTCCCCCCATTATTGTGCAATCCATGAACTTGACTTTGTCACGGGATATGTAGGACTCATTCTTAGAGCTAAATAGGAAGGAATGTGGGTCAAATAATATAAAAGTGAAATTATAACCAGAATGGAATGGACAAGAATATTGAGTCGTGTGACAGGTCTGCTCCTAATGCATACATTTTCCAATCTGCCTTAAATGAATTGAGAGGATGGATTTGCATCATTATTGCGTAACCCATTCACTAGAGATGCAAATTAAAATTCAAGACAGCCATTCGCTTGCGTAATAGGTATAAAGTGATGAAGCCCGGTATGCAAATTGGATCCCATTCATGCCAAGATACAAGATGCTCTTATTGTGAACTTGTTCATGCATCGCTACACTTGAGATTGTAGTTTACTGCACGTAGCTAAATGTCGATGTCAAGGTCGAACATGTTGAGGCGAGTTATTTACCTTGGTGCTACGGTAGAAGTTTATTTTATGTATCAGAGTAGACAGTTTTTGAGATGTATTACAGAAACTAAACTTATAAATAGTTCACAAAACGTGGAGTGTAAATTGCGAATAGATCCGGATAAGGTGATAAAAGGTGCGAAATCTGAGAGATATTCGGTAAAATTTCTCTCCTCTTTGGTAAAGAACCCTGAAAAGGAAGGCTTCAAGAGCAAGGCTGTTGTGGTACTGATCTTGAGACAGCAAACTTTTGTGGATATTGGTAATTAATTAAGCAAACTTTGTTAATGCGTCAGCGTGACGATTGGTTTATGGTGTGCATAGTTTGAGGTACGTAGTATAATTGCAGAAATAATATGACAAGGTGTAATAAATTTTGTGGGTGGATGGATGTGAGTTTCACGAAGGGTGATCTTTTTCTCGGTATACAATTTTTGTGGATATTGAATAAATATGTGTTCACGCAAGATTGACCTTTCTAGGTACAGTCCAACCATCCGTCTCATCCACTCTGATAAAATCAGAGATTTGCATCATGTCTTTGTTTTGGCAGATTTGTACGTGTCGAAATATATCAATAAACTAAACTTCAGGTACATCAATACATAATCCGTTATGTTTACTTTCAACGAGTGAAGCTGTTGGTAATTTATTTATTAATTAACACAGTGTTAAATCCATTTTTCATCGCCTTGCGGATACGTAATGAAAAATAATCTGTTTGCGGTGTGGTGAGCAGATTTGATCATTGGCAATTGAAACAAATTGGTTGTAGTCAATCTTTATTTTCGCACATACGTAATTAGCAAATGGTCAACAATACATATATTGCTGATTGTTGGTTTGCCATTGTAAATACACAGCACCGATTCAATTATGGTACAAAAAGACAATTATTATTATCCTGATTACTATCGATCAGTAGAAGTTTATATAAGTGTCTAAAACTTGATTCTTTAGCAATTGTAACAATTTTCAAAATTTGGGCTAAATTTAGCCACCTTTCTAAATACTTGTGGGTGCACTAAATTATAGGTTTTTTTTAAATAACATAGTATTTACTAGTGGTAACATAATTAAATATTGATGGTTTTCAAAAATTGTGAAACATTTTTTCTGTATTTTTTCACAGCTAGAAAAGTTTCACTAAAATATTATTTGGATTGGTTGGGAAATGTTAAATTTTTAATTTGTGTTGCACCCAAAATTTTTTTGGGAACGGAAGACAAATATACAGAGGGGGGCCGATGTCTCAGAAATTCCGGTCCGATTCGTGTCTCACTTTATCTACAGCCCCATCCTGTCAAAGTACCAACTTAAAAAAATAATGGAACAAAATTGTGCGTACATTTTTCCAACAAAACAGCAAAATTAATATTTCGAAAAAAATTCCATGAAACCAATTTGGCCTACCGCACATGGTCCATAAGTGGAGCAGATTTGGCAGCCCCTTCTTTCTGCATCGTCTCGTCCCTTGGACCATTTTTCGTCAACAAATTGTTACACAGTCTTTACCTAGAGGTATATTTGATTTTCGTTAAGCAATGTATTATTTTTTGCAAACTTATTTCCAAAGTTTTTGCCAAAGATTTCTCAGTATTGCACGATCTAGTAATAAATTCTGAGCTTTTTCACAGTAAGGAAAATAGTTAATGGAAACTGCAGTAGTGGTGGATGATGAGAACAATAGTGACAAAATCCAGCCCTGTTTTGCACCTTGTTTTTGGTAGATATGTATGAAAATGAAAATGAGCCACATATGATGTCAGTCTTTTTAAAGTTGCTTCCTTCGCATGGCCCCCCTGGGCGACAAATACCCTTACATGCGAGCCATGGTCTAGTACACTGAGGAAAATTCTATTACTATCAGGTATGATTCTACCACAATGGTAACGATATGCTTCCTTGTAGTAGTAATTGGTTACCAGGTATAGTAATACTTGATTACCAAAGCGGTAAAAGTTTATTACCAACTGGTAAGATATTGGTAGCAATATTATCTACATATTGGTAGCAATATGTAGATAATATTGGTAGCAATATTATCTACATATTGGTAGCAACGTCCTGACCCGTGGTAGCAACCGGTATTACTATCCCGGTAGAGTCATATATATAATTACCGGATCTTTTTGAGCTTGTGGACCCGACTTGTGCCAATTTCTTTCGCAGTATAACTAGAATCCTTGAATCCTACGACTTGACCTTGCTAAAGCTTGGTCAGCCTCTTTTGTACCCTATTTGCGCAATGGAGTAGTGGGGTCCGAGACTTTGAAAGAATTTCACTTCTATGATTTAAATTGTCCAGGTTTATTGTAGAAAATTCGGTGATAGTCAACCGTGTTCGGAAGTTTTGAGGAATGGATTTATTTGGAGGAAGAAACAATTCAGTAAAGTTTGTCTGCATACTGTTTCTGTGCAAGAGAAGAGTTACAAGTACTGGTAACTTTAACATGGTCAAGTGTAAAATTTAAGAGAAAAATAAGAGTAAATTTGGAAAATTAATACAATTTTGTATAAATTTGCAAAGAGGTACTATTTACTACAATTTTATCTTGTGATACAACGCAATGTTAAAATTATTTTGACATGTGTATAATTTTATATTACTTAAAAATGGCTTAGGAGAAATAGGTACTGTCAGAAGCAGGCAAAATTCTTGATATAAATACATTTTTAGAGTGAAAGGGTGCACGAGTTAATGGGTGAGGATTATGTGAAAACTTCTGCTTCATGCAAGCTATAATTTAACTGTAATCATTTTCCCAACAAAACGAAGTAATTTAGGAGTAAGAAGTGGAAAAGATTTTAGGGTTTAGTTTACATGTTGATATTGTAACGTAATACGACAATTTGAAGCCATTAGATTGTGTACGTAAAACGTATGTATTATAAACTTACTTTAGAAATAACCAAATTGTCTTGTTATGTTATCAAACGCTATAATTTTCCATAATTTATTTAACCAATCATTTCTGACTAGTGGTTCCGCAAAGTGATTCGGCTTTAAAGTTATGGCAGTTCCAGGTATTTAAAGTCCAATAGCGCACCCTTTGTTCCTCTTTTTGGAAAAAAAAATCATTCATTTCTCTGGACAATTACAATTTATTCAGGTTAAGGTACTCGAATGTATAAAAATGTGACTAACTCATTTACTACATATGTACTAATATATGATCCCTTATTAGTATATGATGGAGGTAATCGCCACTATTATTATTAAATATGGCCCTCACGCTCCGTTAGGTCAAATGGCTATAATGGCAAAGTACCTTATTAGAACAGTTCCATAAGAAAAAGTCATCTGTAAATGTTTGCCTCCAAGAGTGTCGTTGGACCGCAGTAAAGTGATAAAAGTAAGATTGGTTAACTGTGCGTAAAAATTGACAAAAAGGCGTATAAAGAAATTTTGTTAGAAAGTTCAATTTAAAAAATTCATATTTTTTATTGTTTATCAATTTTATTTTTAAAATGTGTCAAAATGGTTGTTCGAAATGGTGACAAAAGATTTGAATTGGTTTGAGCTATCATAACCGAGAATTAAACGCGACTTGAAAATTTGGGAGCGGACAAGGTTGTGACACAATCGCAAGATAGATTATTGGGTTGTTATTTACTCAGGATGTTTCACGTATTTATTAGAATACTTTTAACCCAACCTGTAGTTTAATGGGCGACTGTATGTAAGTGCATGTGTGTAATTGTAACGACTCTGACTGCGACTGATGGTGGTGTGGCTGTGACCGTGAAAATGAGCGGTGGTGAGGTCTCAAAATGGTCACTTTAATGATGGTTATTTATTAGTCACAATTGGGATACTACAAATATTTTTGATTTCGAACGTGAGTGTACAATTTAAGTGAGTGACGGGACTTGATGTTTCTTAGAGGAGAGGAGAGACGACACTAAAAATTTCATGGAACTTTTCTGTCCTTATTACACAAAAAAGAGACGCTAACTTTTACAAATACCACCCTCCTCTCCTCCTCTTGACCAATGGAATGAGAACACCTTGAAAATAATTTAATCAAAAGAGGAGGAGAAGAGAGGTCAAAAATTATATAAGTTGAAAGATAAAATGTGCACAAAACTTCATTTACGAGCGACTGGCTGGCACCCATTCAAAATTTCCCTACTCGGGTCCAGTCTCACACAATACAAAATCATCATCATTTTCATATCATGACAAAATACATACAAATGTTCATTATCATCATGAGTCAATATTCATAAAATTACGAGGTCAAATATTCATAAAAATAATTATTCTAATCGACGACAAAACCATTGAATAATTTAAATTTATTTCTCTACATACACAACGAAGTACATGTTTGACGTCCTCAATTGCGACCTTGCTGGTGTTATTCTTATTTGAACTTCATCTCTACGCACATCGTTTAAATTCTTACTATGAATGACTATGACAGCCAGTTTAATTTAATTTTCCTTTCCAACCATATAATTTAAAAAATTCTCGATATTTGACTGCCTTGTGAATCATGCCTGAATTTTACCAGTTTTCTAAATAATATTTCCAACCCATACCGAATGTATCAGGTTTACAATTTGTAGTTTTAATTTCAACATCGTTCCAATTTAATATTACACAAAATAATAATATTTTGAATTAGAATCGGTATTCGTATTCACACAACATTTGAATAACCTCTCTAAAACATTAGGGGATCCACATCTTGATCATTATTGTTACTACACTCCAGAATCTCGACCTCATCTTCACATCCCACTCCTCCTCCTCCTACCTTAGCCCCCGCGAGTCTTTTAATTCTTCGGAAACGGTGAACCTTCCTTAGATGACTTTTCATTAAAGCCTCGTCCCGCAACTTTTCCTCGCATTGGACACATTGCACGACCAACAATTCAGGATGAGCCTACTTCCGATGAATCCCAAGCCGTGACGAGTATTCAAATCCGACCCCACAGATACTACATTTCCACTTCCCAGACCCATGAGTGCGGTGGTGTGCCTCAAATTGAGCTAAACTTGTACAATTTTTTCCACACTCTACAAATAATCCCACCCGGAATCACTTTCCACTTCTTCTACTTCCCCAAAGCCTCGTCCTGTTCAGCCCGGAATTTTGCAGCGAGTCCAGTCTGCCTTGCAATATCGCAATGCGACCGTACATGAGCCAACATGTTTCCCTTGATCGTGAAAGTTGCACCGCACCCCGCCGCGCAGACATGTGGTCTCAATCCGGCATGTGTGTTGAGATGATTTTTCAAATTAGATTCCGATTTCGCGACGTAGTTACACTGAGGGCAGACAAATATCTTCTTTTCGGATCTCTCTATCCGAATCCCGTGCACAGTCCAGCGGTGAGTTTTGAGTCCTCGCTCCGATTTTAGTCTCAGATTTGGTGCAAAGGTCACATGAGAAGGGGCCTGTGAAAGTGGTCAAGATCACTTTGGTGCATTGATTGCGTTTTAAGTGCGAAGTTAATGAGCTATTCATTCGAAAAGCAGAACGGCAGGTGGGACAGACGAATGGTTTTTCTAAAAATGAATAAGTATACTGCAAAAAATCCGCTGGTGTAAATTTAATGGTGTTAATTTGTCACCTTGTAGTGTACATTGTGTCCCCAATGGTGTCATAATTTACACCACACGGTGACAAATTTAACACCACCGCGCGGGGTGGATATGTGATTCCACCGGCTTGGTGTCAATAATTTTGGACCCCACGCGGTGACAAATTAACACCATACGGTAACGAATTAACAATTCACGGTGACAAATTAACACCACATGGTGATAAATTAACATGACACGGTGACAAGTTAACACCACATGGTGATAAATTAACATAACACGGTGACAAGTTAACACCACATGGTGATAAATTAACACCACACGGTGACAAATTTACACCACCTGCGGGGTGGATATGTGACTACACCGGATTTTTTTGCAGTGTAGGAAATATCTAGTGTAGGAATATTTAGTTACCGTTGTTATGCCATGCTATGTGTCTTCTCAATTGGGCCGGCCAGTTGCACGTTCGTGGACAGTGGGGACACTGTATAGTTTTGGGCGGCTGGTACACCTCCCTTCGCCAATTTCTTCTCTGCCGCATGAATCCACGCCTCAGCTCGGCCAATTTTTTAGCATCGTTCTCCAATTCTGACCATTGGGGGGTGTGAGTGAGCTCGTGCATCTTAAAGAATGTCCAGAATGCAAAGTCTGCAGAACACGTGTCGCACTTGAAAGGTCTTTCCCCTTTGTGTTCTTGACGGTGGGCGAATAAGGCTTTTTGTGTAGGGAACTTCTCCCCGCAGATGTAACAGGTTTGCAGCGAGGTGTCTGGAATCTGAAAATTATAAAAAGTACAAGAAATCTTCATTATTAGCTGTCTCTCATGTAGGGTTGTACCGCTCCTCGCTCCCTGGGAGTTTTAAAACTCCCAAAAATCACAAAAATCCCGGAGTTTATTTTTACTCCCCCATAAGCCCAATGTTAACATAAACTCCCTTTGAGTATATGCCCTGGGAATATTCCCAAAACTCCGGGAATTTATTATCATTCCCAGGGAGTTGTACAACCCTACTCTCATGACAACAATTATTTTTCCAAATTGTGTAAAATTGTGTAAATACCCCTGTTGCGACGTCATCGGAATCGCCAATTAAGTCATCCTCATTATCCCCTTGTTCCTCATCGTCGTCCATCTGTTCATAAAATTCAATTTCTTCGTCACCGTCGTCATTGTCATTTCCTCGTCTTGAGATAAAGTGTCAAACATTGGCACACTGGAACCAAAAAATTCCACTCTTTGCCAAAATTTAGAATTTTTGATCAATGTAGTTTCCTAAAAAATGTAGTACATAAATTAATCAGACATTCAATAGTATGGCATAGCCAAATATAAATAAAAGAATTTACTTACAATGGCCCCATCGTAACGTCCTCATCAAGTATAAGAATATTGATGTCATGTTTCTCTAAAATGTGTAACGCAATTTCTGGCTCGTGAGGGAGATAAGCATCACAAATTTCACACTTCCATCTCAAACGGTTAGAAATCGCCATTTTTCTAATTAAACGCTTTAAGTACGTTATATTATTATTATGCGACTTACTTAAGTTTTGACTTTCACAAATCTAGGTTTTAAGCACTTGATAGAAATTCAACTAATCAAGAAATAACGTAATACACGGTAATTAGTTAATCAGTGAATTAATTAGCAAATTGAAAGAAACACGATATTTTTATGGCAAAAGAGAGGTGAGGAGGGAGACGGAGCAGCTGCGAGAATGATATTTTCTTTTCTCTGGTTGGAGCAGGACGGCTAAAGTGAAGGCAAGGTTGTCATCATGCATTCAACGATTTTTTCCCGATCTCAGTTTTTAGTTTATTAAGATGTTTGAGTTAACATTGTTGCTTGTGCTGGGACGATCAATTATTAAAACTTCATGCTTTATGCACATCCCCGTGTATTCAGCATGAAGTTTTGTGGAATTTAAGCTTTGCACACAGTTTTGTCCCTAATTTTGGTCCTTCATGGGATGTTACATTTATGCAATAAATTTTATGTTATGGTTTGTATTTTAAAACCGGGGCCAATTCTTGCTGAAAGGCTTGGTGGCTGATCCGCAAATGCTTAAATACATTGAAATTTCAAATTTGAATTACTTTATCAATTATTAGCCGATTTTCAAAATTAAACATGTTATGGAAAGCTTGACCCTTGGACTATAATATATATTTTCAAATTTTGAAATTTTGATATCGTTGACCTTAAATCAGGGTCACAATCTCAAAAAATGAGAAAATTAATTTTAATGCAATATTATTGCAAAACTTTATCGAAAGCTTGTCATAGCTCGTTTTTATGTCATAGCTCGTTTTTGAACCATATCGACAACGTGCATCAGCGCACGACTATTTTGAAACATGAACACGCTCCCTGGGGGTGAGTCGTCACACCGTGTGACCACTGACGAAAATGTCACATGATATGGTATCGTTAAAATATAATTATTTTGGGGCACGCCCACAAGGGGCGTGGTTATTTTCAAAATTTTATACCCCGACGGAAAGCCCTCGTCAGCCTGAAGAGAATGATATATCGTATTCGATGTTTTAAGTGAAACTCAATCTTGGCGATGGTGGGTACACCCCCAGGGGGCGTGGTCATGTTTCAAAATAGTCGTGCCCTGATGCACGTTATCGACATAGATAAAAAACCAGTTATCAAAAAATTTCGATAAAGTTTGGAAATAATATTGCATTAAAATTAATATTGAGAATGAAAAACTTTTAAAATTTATTACTTTATATGACTCCAATTTGTGTCATTTCAACAAGCTGTATCTCCTCCGTCTTATCCACTTCTGCAGAAAGTGACGACTCGTTCTTGTCATCGGAAAAAGGAAATGACGACCAATTCAATACTTTGACATCATCCCCTAATAAGCTGACTACTCCTAAAGTGGCGCAATGGGGTAGACAAAGCATCTGTGACCACGATGCCTTTACGTGGATCCTTCTCGAAATGATTTTGGACGCACAACTCAGAATGGAAAAAGGCGACAACAGCACTGGACTCTTGCCCTTGGATCCAATCCACATTCCTGAATTTGTTTTCAATCAAGAGGAAATTTTGAGGGGTGCGGCAGGGAAAAGTTCGCCTCGTCGTGTTCAAGCAGATATTGAGTAAGTAAAATCAATATTAAAAAAATAAACTAAATTCACTCTGATTATGGAAAGTTAAATAAAATCGGAGATTTGCACTAAAAACTCCCACTAAACATTAATAGAGACATATACTTGAAGGATTGGTCAAAATTTAACGTCACTGGAATTAGGGCCGACATGCAGAAAATGCTGATTAATATTTCAATCGCTTTGGAATCCATAACGATTTCTGGTACAGGATTTATTTTTAAAATTATGAAGAAAATTTAATGCGTGAATATTGATTAGGAAGCGGGACTCTTAAAATGGGTTCGTTAAGATTCCCAATACTTGGAAGAGGAAATTTTATCTTTAAACCTCAAGGCGTCTCCACCTTTATTTACGCAATGTTCGGCACGCATGCGAATGGACCGGGATACCTGAAGGATTTTGATTTCGGCTTGAACCTCAAAAAACTTAGCGTCGACATCACCTCCCCACTACGACGTAGAAATAGAAGGAATCCTTTTGACGAGATCCTGAGCAGGATTGGTGGCTCACTTTTTAATAAATTAGAAATAAGATTGCATCCTAAATTAAGAAGTAGAGGGATTGAAGAAGTTTCTAAGCGGATGGGAGTAGGTCAACTTAGATTAGCTTAACAGAAAAACATTTTAATTTTACATCAATAACATATGGTCAGTAGGGGTTAGTGTGATCGGGTGGGGTGAGTGTGATCACCAATTTTTTTAAAAGATAACGGCATAATTTTGATAAACTAAAAAAATATTTTGTGCTACAACGTTAGTACTATAACACAATTTTTTACTTTCATAAGTAAAACATAAGTGAACTTTCTCAGGTTAGACAACAGCTCGTTGTAACCTGCGAAAGTAGAAATTCACATAATAGACCGAAAGAAATACGAGAAAAATTGCAATGTGAAGAAGGCAGTGGCCTTGTACCTTAATGGTAAAAGCGTCTAACATATATTCAGAAGACGTGGGTTCGATTCCCCATTGAGTTACTGAATTTTTCACAAAAATTGCAATTCCGTATTACAATTAATACTTTTTTAGTTTATCAAAATTATGTGGTTATCTTATAAAAAATTTGCTAATCACACTCACCCCACCCGATCACACTGACTCCTACTTACCCTAAGTTTATCCAATTTTTTTAGAATTGGAAGCTGCTGACCGACGAGGTTTTGGAAAAGATACTAAATCACTCTGTATATTGCTACTTTGGCTGAAGGCATCTTATTTCACTCGCACTGTTTTATCTAATTTTCTGATCTGAATCGTACCTGATCTTGATTCACCCTCCAGTCCACAACTTTTCCGGTCAACTTTCAATTTTTGTGAAATTTTCATACATTGATAGTGTAGGTTGTATGTATATGATTAAGAGCGAAAATTTAATTAATTTGAAAAAATCGGCAATTTTAAAATGTGGTTACCAAATCCGTAACCAATGCGAAGTTGTACAAAAAAAGTGAGAAGTACGACTTGAAAAAGTCTATCACCACTTATTAACGCATTAATAATACTGCTATCTGAGACACCTCAGAAGCTTATACGTATGTATAATGTCCATAACTAGCACCAAGGAAACTATGCAGAAAAACTTTTGCAGAACTAGAGGCGTTCACCGTCAACAAAGTTGCTTACAAGTTTAATCGTCAGACTTGTTCAGGACCACAATCCCTTTGTCTTATTTTGTTGCGTAGCATATTAATCATGCAATTAATTGCTGCATTTGTATTATTATTAGAAAATAGAAACTTTAATATTTTTGCAATCTCTGTCTCGCTTGTGAGTGAACGCAACATTGTGTGGTGTATTAAGCATAATAGCCACAGCTTCTCGTTTCTTATTCAACTCACTAAAACCAGTTTTTTTGCTCCTGCTTACATGCAGGTACTCTTCACGCTGCATTGTGTGAAACGTGCATAATAATCTCTCTTCTTCTTTGCGATGCGTTGTTGCATTCATCTTGCAGTCTTGCATGCATATTGCAATCATGCACTTTCTTATGTATGTACATATTATGCATTAAACTGCAGATTTCTAATTCTTCCAATTTAGAATCCATGCTAAATCTTATGCACTTTCTATTTGTGTGTTGTTTTCATTTTTACTGTTTTAATGATTTCTCTTCAGTTGAGATTTGCCCAGCAGCAGCAAAGCAGCAAATTTCACTCATATTGTGAACCGATAATTTGGACCAAGCAGCCAAATTGAGGTTTAGTTGGACCAAGCAGCCAACAACCTTTTTATCTTAATAAATCCTCTTGTTTTTATACATATTATTATTTACGTGTTCAATAAACTCAAAAATTCAATATTCTTCAACTCTCATCTCATCATTGCAAAAGTCACAAATAAAAACTTCATTACAAACTATTCATATTTCGAGCGAGCTCGTAACAGGATTATCGGGTTACGTAGGGTACACAATTTAAAAATTAATGAAGAATCTTTAGGCCACTACTACGGATATATCGTGCAAGCTTTAAATTTCAACTTTATTTCAAATAAACCACCCAATCAACAAAAGACAGAAAATAGCTTCCAATACGGACTACGATTTTAATTAATGCTCTTAACTTTTATTTATACCGTTTTTTAATCACTACTCTTTCCTCAGCTCACACATGAGGGGGGACCAACCCCCATCACAATCCCGGTTGTATAGCCCCCCAGGTGTTAAGAAGATGCATTGATATCGCCAATGCTCACCCGACAACTGAGGTCCAGTCACCTTTTCTCCAGAGTAAAAGAGTCTGAATTCCGCATTACCTTTGGAACAATCCCTACTGAGGACGTCTGTGGCCGCCACGGTGTACAGAAATGGGAGTCCACTAATCAATTGTTGTTGCGAGAATGCCGACAAAAACTCGACTTCAAGCTCATTTTCCGGCACGACTAGCCGCATTCCAGCCTTGTGACATAAATCCAACAGTTCCATGATGTGCTAGGACACAAATTTTGGGACACCTTAGTCCCAAGTTAATTATGAAAATCGTGAAATCGTTTTGAACATACCCTTTCATCAGAATAATCAATAAAAAACGTTTTATTTCCCACGCTACCAATTTCCTCCAGGTCCGGGATCCAATGCTCCCTGGCTATCTGCACGGTTTCCTCAAATGTTGGTTTTCTTTCCGTCATGTTCCTTTTGGGTTTCATATCTTCATTTAAGGAGGGATCCTCGCCCGGAATTCTGGGAACGGTTAACAACTCCAATTCACAGAGGGGACGATGCTTCACATTCTCGTGGCATTGCTCTTCCCTCCATAGCCCAACTGGGTCTAAGAAGACGCAATTTGTGGTCCTATTGAGGGTCGAAAGGCCATCGGCAGTGTCCCAATTGGAGAAAGATACAGCTTGTTTGGTACTCACCCATTTGAACGTGCCTTCTTCATCCTGATCAGTTGCTGCTAACCAAAGTCCGCCTGAAGAAAAAAAATATTGAAATTTCTTTAACTTAAATGTAAGACTCTGGGTTGTGGGATAATTCTTGGTTTGACGGGTAAAATTACATATATTAATTGTGCATTTCAGGTTCTTAAGTTCATTTGGGGTAGACAGCAGTGTTCCTTTTTGGACGTCGAAAACCTTTTTTGGCCTATTAAAACCACTGGGCAGCGTCCAAAACTGGTCACAACGGTCAAAAGTGGTCAATGTCCAAAAGTGGTTAATTGTATATTGATATAACCTATTAACCACTTTTGGCCATTTTGACCAGTAAATCTCGGTGTCCAAAAGGTGGTTTTAACCACCTTTTGGACGCCGGCCTGTCCAGTGTGGTTTTAACCATACGAAACACTGGTAGGCAATGGAAATTTCTTTGAGTGAGTAAATTAGAAAATGTGCTTTAATTTAAAAGCTCATACCATAGATACGATTAGAAATGTAAATTTGATGGATATGATCGGATATAAAAAGATGAACAAGTTTTATTCCGTAACCAATCCGGATTTAGATAAAAAATAGGCTTAACAGATGTAAAATGTTGGGGGTAGATTTAGGATAACGTTTTTACCCACTTGGGTAAGAATAAGGAGAGGAAAGACAATTTTCGTGATAGTGTTATTGGTGTGATCAGATTTGCCATAGCTGAGACTCTCAAGAACTTACTTGACCGTGGTGGTAGGTCTGTTGTAGAGTTCAAATAGCTGGCCAGCATTTTATTATCTCGTTCCGTTTCGACAGACCCAAGCATCATTCCTCTTTGATGACATAGATCGGCTCCTTCAATCCAGTGATGCTACGGGAAAGAAGTTTGTAAATGGAGAGACAATAATATACCGAATTCTTCTGAGGAAGTACAATAATTTATTAATCTATTATGCACAATTATATTCAGGGTTGGTTGTAGGTGTGATTTTTACAGTATGCGATTTCACTGTGATTTATGTGATTTATGCGATATTTAATTTATGTGATTTCTGTTATTTATGTTGTCCGCTAGGTATCGCCATACTAAATCACAAATCACAAAAATCACAGCCTGGTCAGATTTTAACTACCCTTATTATATGTAATATACCTCTCTCTCAGAAGTAAAATATGCTTTAGTATGACCCAAACCAATCAAGAAAAGTCGCTCGTCGTAATCTTGAGCCTGACATAAAGCAGTTAGGATAAGAAGCCTGGCCAATGCCAGGATTAGCTTAATATTTGGAGACATTGGTATGGGAGGAAATTTATTTACTCAATTTCCACCAACTCGGTTAAAGCAATGCCAGATCGAGACTGTGGTTATGGAATGGATGGCTATCTTGCACTTTTAGCACAATATGAACAGTTTTTGTTTACTCTTATCATAGAGTTTGGTCCATCAATCCTAATGCATGCATGACATGCATGACAAATAGTTGTAAAAACATTGCTGACAAAGGTGATTGATCATATTTTGATAACTTTTCCCCATACTATGAAACTATTGAAATTTATGCTGTCTGAATTATTTGCATATCACGCAACGTGGTCATGACATGCATGGATTGAATTCATGATATAGGTAAAAATAAAGTGCAAGAAAGCAATCCCAGTTTATCAAACCTGTCAATCAATCAAAGTTTGACTGGAATATGTCTACCGAGCTAATTTCCTACTGTGGAATGGTGGTGAGATTTCATAATGATAATATCGAGTTTGTTTCGGTGGAGGAATTAGATCAAGTTAACGTTACGTTTGAAGCACTGCTATCTACTGCGAGAGCAAAACCCTATTGTTGCGGCAGAATAAGAATTTATAATATTTAGTTATTTGTTTACTTAATTTATGTGAAAGTTGTGTATTGTTTAAACATTTAAGTATTAATTTAATCTGGATCTAAAGTATTTTAATGTTCACAAAATCCTCCTTCAACACTTTTTTGCTTTCGGTTATTATCCTTGTCTCACTCATATCATTTACATAAACGTCATTTTCCAAGTTCCGATGGAAAACTTGCATAAGGTTTTTGATGTTTTTCGTGCTAAATATTTTGTGTCGTGATTATATCTCAACAAATGAATCAAACCTAGCCAAACACTGCGTTCTCGGAACTATGTCATGCAAAGGGATCGTTGGCTGGAACTGTTCGCTTAGCCAACTTCACACAAATGTCAGAATTGTTGTCATAAGTTTTAAGATGCATCCTAAAACTCTCCGGTGTAACATCACCTCGCGGGAGGTGTTAATTTATCACCGTCTGGTGTTAATTTACCACCATGCAGTGTTAATTTGTCACTAAATGTTGTTAATTCGTCACCGTGTGGTGTTTATTTATCGGGAATTATTGACACCGAGGCGGTGGAGTCACATATCCACCCCGCTGGGCGATGCTAAATTTCACACCGTGTGGTGTAAATTATGACAACATTTGGGACAAGATTTACAGTACATGGTGACAAATTAGCACCAAAATTACCCCGTTAAATTTACGCTAGCTGATTTTTTGCAGTGTGGTTGCGACTAGGGATATTGGTCGGTAATTTGTTTCTTAGCTTTAGTACAGCTTTACGTAGTTCATCTTTCGAAATCGGTTAGTTTTGTATTTGCAGTTCCACCCTTAAAGAGAGTATACAATTTTTGACTAGTTAAATGACTAGCCTTGAGATGACGTAATGTGGGGTATCTCATTGTAATAAATTATTATAATTATAATTATTGTGTAATTATTGTGTAATTTTTATTAGTAGATGATTGGAAACCCTCCTCATCCCCTATAACTATAATGCGATTCTAGTTAAAAAATTTATGGTCAATGATTTCCAATTATTTAAGAAGAGAAATTTTACAGATTAATAATACAAAATTTTTTTAGTAAATAGTGATATCCGCACAGTTCCTAAAAGTTTGGGCAGGATTAGGGTTGTAGCATTCGCCCTGTCCGGGTGCCCAGGCAGGGTACGAAGTCCGATAAGTCCACCTGATCGTGCACCTCGTGCAAGTTACCCCGGCAGGAAGTTGGACACGGAATGTGACAATGTCATTGGGTGGGGCCGGATTGTCGAATGGGATGCAAACCGTGTCATTTCCAAAAGGCTGAGAAGCGCTGACAATCGGCAGCGTTTGGAAACACCCGTCCGTCTCCACTGCCTGGGGACACAGCTCTATCTTGAAGTGACCAAAGTGAGCATTGTCTAGGCCAGCCTTCATTTCAACAATCTATACAGAAAAAACGGGGTGAATTAAAACATAAAAAAATTAATATTTTTCTAATATTTCAAATTTCATACTGATCCAGAGAAGTACGTTTTAACGACAATTCCTTTATCGTAAATTCCCCCTTGAGAAGCATCCCCGTTTCCGCGGGCTTCACCACATCGTCCGCATTGAGAATATTGAAGATCTTGTTGAACCTGGGAAGGTTTTTTTTTAGATTTTTTAGACAATTTAATTTGAATAAAATGGAGGCAAAAATTTATATCAAGAAAGCACTCACATTGTCGCACCACACCCCCCTAAGTAAAGGACAAGTTTAGTTTATTTAAATAATTGGATTTGAGTAGAGAGATAACTTACTTGTTGTCCCACCAATAGGGAGGATCGTAAGGGTAGGAACCATCCAACTGAAGTGAGGTCCTGGCCAGGGGATCCATCAGGTAGCCGTGAGGCTCAGAAAGGCCAAAGGCCAAGGCGAGAATTCCAACTGTTGCGAGTTTCATTTTGATCTGTGTGTGAACAGTGGCGTTCCTCTTAAAACATATTTATACCCGGCTTCAAGTGGTTATGAGTGACGATGGGATGATTTAAAGTGGTAAGCGTGTTATATTTGCAATATATTGTGGTATATGATATGTTAAGGATAAAAACCTCTTAGTACAGCTTTGCTTAGCCCGAGCCAGGATGTATCCTCTATCAAATTGTCCGATTATATACCTTCAAAATTAGGAATATTTTGCACCACATCTTCCCAGTAATAGGCATCAATTTTTCCAATTATCTGGCTCCAAAGTTAGAAATAATTCACCTTAAGTACCACTTGTAGTAACAATTTCAAAATTCTAATCTAATGTTTTCCACTCATTTGTCATTTTTAATGTGCATGCTAAATTTAAGCTGAATTTAGCAACTTTTAGAATTCAGCACGGGTATCCCCTTAATATCAGTCAGATTAAAAAATTTAAAGACCAAGTTGGTCAAAATGGGTCATGGGGTTCGCCCGGTAGAGTGTCATAGACAGACGGACACGACGGCTACATAAGCCCCGGTTCGGTCTAGAAACTTATTATTATTATTGACAGAAGTGTTGTGTCACCTGTCATGGTAGATAAAGGAATATTGATTTACTTATTTGGTAATCTACATTTTGCAGTTAGAGCTTTTGCACACATCCAACAAGAATCGTACACAACGATGCTGGACTTTTATAGGCTACATTTCACTAGCCACGTGCGTGGCTGGTGGTAAAGCCAGATAATTTAGTTGGATGATAAGCACTTCCAACTTCAGGGTTCTTCACCACACGGTGTAAAATTTAACACCACCCTGCGGGTTGGATATGTGACTCCAACGCATTGGTGTCAATAATTTTTGACACTACACTGTGACAAATTAACACCACATGGTGATAAATTCATACCACATGGTGGCAAATTAACACCAGACACGGGGTGGATATGTGACTACACCGGATTTTTTGCAGCGTATGTTATTAGATATGGTCAAGAGGGTTGTTACTGTGAGTATCACAATTGTGATTTTTGATATGTGTGATTTTAATCGGCTTCGTGATTTTTGTGACGAATTGGAAGAACTCTTTCAATTCTGACATTTCCTCAAAAATAAACATATATTCGTTATCCCGTCGCCATTTTGTATGTTGGTATTTCATGTCCTGAATTTTTTCCATATTTGTTCGCAGCATCTGGTCTCGACAGGGTCCAATTTATTCTTGCTAGTCCTAATTATAGCAAAAGTAACTCGTAGTTTTCACCTCTCACAGCGAATTCTTAACTGATGAAACAGACAATATAGTTAAACGGGATAAAAGTTATGTAAAATTTGAAGACTTAATTGCATTTTGAATTATTAAATAAATTTGCTTGTCATCGATTAACATGAGTTCATAGTGAATAAAAAGTACGTTGCAGCTCTATTTTAGGAGTGGGCATAACTACGCCACCACGGGGGTTGGGGGCTTATAAAAAATGCGGAATTTTACGAACCATCCGTGTTTCGTGTTGTTAAAACCACATTCTACGGGATGTCTTGACACCGAGATTTAATGGCCAAAAGAGGTCAAATTGACAACTTTTGACCATTTTGAACACTGACTGGTGGTTTTAACCGGTCAAAAAAGATTAGCCACCATAGTCAGCGTTTCTTTTTGGGCCGTCCAAAAGCACTGGTCAGTGTCCAAAAGTGGTCAAAGGTGGTTAATTGTATATTGGCACAACCAATTTACCACTTTTGGCCATTTCAACATATGGGCGTCCAGTGTGGTTTTAACCAAACGAAGCTCAAACCATAATTACAAACCTGGTCGTAATTTTTTTCCTTCTTTATCTGTTTCGTTTTGCACACGAGATGTGTTTGTCAAGCCGTGTGAAAAAAATGTATTAGTCACGTAGACAACACATGCCTCTGAGATGAGGTGTGTATGTACCTACGTAGATGTGATTGCATACAGTGGCCGCTGAAGGCATGGGGACATGTGGGGACTCCAATAAATATTGTAAGATAGGACGGATTTATTTAACATGGGACACAAAAAACCTGTCATCCCACTTCCGCGGTCACTGATTGCTTACTACAATATTAATTCAGCTCATATGACAGAACCATTTTGCACTTTGATGCCACACCGTGTGGAAAACAGTCCAGATAACATACAAATCGAACGTAATCAGGGTGTCAGAGAGGTGGGCAAAATGTTAATTATTTATTATCACGTTGTTGTTATTGTAAAAGTTTATGACACAACTTGAATGACGCTGGTCACGTGAACTTTTTCAATTAGGGGTACACACGTAGGGGTACTCAGTAATTGTCCCCTTTAGTTACACATCCTTCTGGTTGGGGACACGTTGCCAGTAAGAGGGTGAGGTACATAGATGTGTTCCCGGGGATGTGGGAGATGTAATGTTATTATGCGCAATAAATGAGTATGTACTTTAGCTGGTAAATATTAAGATGAAAAGTGTCTTTATTTTTCAATTAAACCGACCTTTTGTAGCTCGTGAACTCTCAAACTTGATGTCCCACCGACTGTCTGACTGCCTGCCGTCACAGACGGCACAGTCAATTACATAATAAATAGTTACCTACGTGTACGCCAACCCACATATATACATATATATTTGTTTGACAAAAATAGAAAGCAATCTGTGATACTTGACATTGAAGTACTTAGTATGGACTTAAGTTCTGCATAACGCATAAACGATTCTAGCTTGCTCAGGAGGAGACCACGCCAAGGTGATAATGACAGATCCTGATGCCCTTTGGATATGTGGTAGTACCCCATGAGAGAACAAAAAGTGTGGAGGGGTTTGATGCCATGGCCCAATTTGCGCCCGCCACACCCACTTAAAGGTGCTAAAAACACAAAAAAACCCTTTTTTGGTGCATTAAAAAATTCACTAAAAATCCAATTTTGCTCGGATTTTCAATAAATTACATATTCTTGATCCCAGATAGTTACTTTATCATATCCAATATCAAACTCAACTTTTTTGGAATGTTGATTTTCTCGAAGGCACACCCCTGGTCAGGAAATTTGAGAAAATAGTGAAAAATTCCGAAAAGTTGATTTTAATATTGGGTATGATAAAGCAGCTCTCTGGGATCAAGAATATGTTATTGTTTTGAAAATCAGATCAAAATTGGATTTTTGGCGAAGGTTTTAGTGCGGCTAGTTTAGCATTGGGCGCACCTTCAAAGGGGTGTGGCGGGCGCAAATGGGGCCATGGCATCAAACCCTTTGACACTTTTTGTTCTCTCATGGGGTACTACCACATATCCAAAGGGCATTAGGATCTGTCATTATCACCTTGGCGTGGTGTCCTCCTCAGTTTTTTGAATAGCACAAAATAGTTAACATTTTTGGAAAGCTGACAAAATTATGATGAAAATATGTCCTTTGACTTTGAAAATTAGCACCTATAGCGGCAATGCAGGATTTAAGAGACAGAATTCAATTCTGATCGCGGTACGCACGCGTTCCAAAGGTTACGCTTGCCATTATTTCACCAATAATTTTTTTTAGCCCCTCCACACTTTTGTGAGGTTTACTACAGATCTATACCTAAGTTTAGTCCATATGTCGTAGTCCAGCGATCGAGATCAGGTGACGTAGAAGACCTATCCTCATTAGAAAAAAGGTTGGGAAAATTGTTTTTGATCTTGAATTACACGTTTTTTGCTTTTTGAGCTGGTGCTGAGTCTTACATATGAAGGTCGAAGGTTTTCCATGGAATATGGTTTCGTTGAAGGTTCACCACGAGTTCTCGGACATCGGCAAAATAATTTTTTACATCGACCTTGACCAAATTTTCGACGAAATGCTACGATTTTCACCGTTTTCGCTAACCCCCACTAAAACCATTCCTGTGGCAGGGCGGTGTGACTTTTTGACTTATCTTTTTTTATTGGAAAATCTCTGACCGATTAGGCGTACATTCTGTCCTGCTTTTTGAAATATTCCACGATGGTCAAGATCTCCTCATTTTTAACGAGGACGGAGAAGGATTTTTTCGCGTACCGCTTAAGAAGTGCTCTGCATGTTATGACCCTTGCTTCTTTTTGCGGAATGGTAAGCACATGGCACTTGCCGCGTTTGAGAGCCTTGACCTTGAGGTTCAAATTTGGTATCATGCTAAAAGTAAATTTTTATAAATCCCTTTTTGGGGCCAATTTTTGTTGTAACCGGCATGGATTTCTTCTAATCCTGACTTTCAACGCTCTGATCATCCCAGGTGTCCTGTTTGACCTCGCACGACCACCACTAAAGCGTTGATTAGTAGACCCTGAGTCAAGGAATAATTTTATGGTACGGTCGACCAAAATAAAATTTACTTTAGACTGTTTTGTGGTCTTCACAATTTCGAATTTTTTTGAAAAAAAAGCGGAGTGAAAAATTATCACCGCCCGCTCCCTTTCGAAGTGCTCTGGGGTTTCTTGCCGGTCTTGTTTCTTAGATGCCTTGTTTGTTACATGCCTTGTAGCGCAAGAAATGCTGGAACGATTCAACTTTTTTAAGGGTTACCCAACGCTGTAAAGCATTTTAGCCTACAATAACAAAATGACAAATGCGACCACGCCAAGTTGAAATGTCGACCACATTATGCATTATTTCACCCCTGCTTTACGTCCGGGATTTGACTTGAACTATGTAAAGTAATTAAAAAAATTTATACCACAAATCTCCCAGTAGCAATAATTGCAATAGGGTGGGGTGGCGTTAATGTGGACACTATCTAATTGCGGACAGTGGATATGTTCATGTGAAAAATTATTTTTCAAAAATGAAAATAACGATGAAAATGAGAACTAACCCAATACAGCAGAGTTAGTGTGGGCACTTGTTTTTTTTATTTTTTAAAGATTTAGAGCAATTCACCCAAGTAACATTTTATAAATGTTCTGTACATAAAATAAAGCAAACTAGTTGACAAAAAGCTTACAATTTTCATAAATATTAGTTTCACTATTTTTGTTTTCTAAAGATATTCATGATAATAA